ACTTGCGATCACCAAATTACCCACAGCAAACACACTTGTATTACCTAAGCCACACCCTATAGATATATATGTATGTGTGTGTGTGTGTGTATATATATATATATATATATATATATATATATATATATAGGCACGCTGCACTGTACTCAACACAAGAAAATGCCACTGAGTTAATTAGCAATGGTTTAGAACTTCAGCATCAACAAGGTCACAGCATTTATGCTACTAACTTGAGTACTGAAGAGTTAATGGTTAAACTCTCAACGCATTACCAACCCAAATTAAAACCCAGCAGCTTGCATACAGATTAATTACATTGACCCATGACTTGTTGCACAATGAACTAGTTCACGTATCAATTTGCACATCTCTTTTTGTGGCGTATTTCCTGTGTAGTCAAGAAACTAGTTAGTTCTTCTAGAGCAGTTTGAAAAAGCTAGCTAGGTACTCTACATGAATTGTTCCCCATATACACTTGGTTGAAGAACAAAATTAAAAGAAAGAACAAAAATTAAACTATATACAACTTTTCCTCACACAATGCTGACATGACTGCATCTAGAAAGACGGTATGTAATGTTTACATATTGAAAACATAGAAGATGTTCATAATGGCTTTCAACAGCTAAATACATAAATAATTTCATGTTTTATATTCATCTGCGGTTCAAAGCAACAACTATAATGTTAAGAGTTTGGTTGTTTTTTTTGCTTGCAGCTTAAAAACTTGCATCACAATAATTTGAAATGTAGATAAAATTACGGTAGGCTCAAGGTCTTACCAAAAGCCATTGAGTCCTAAGAATCTGTTGTTTTAAGATACACTCAGATACATGTAAAAAATGAACTGGGCAGAATGACGCTGCAAGCAAATTATAGATTTTTATGTTACTTTAAAAAAACCATAGATAAGTGTTGGCAAAATTCAAGAAGGGTACCAAGAGGAAATCAGAACAAAGAAAAGAAAAAAAGTTCATCCCTTATAGAATCTCATTCTTATTGGATAAATAACAGTTTTCTTGTTAGGTTAGGATGCATTAGTAACAACAAATACCAAATTTAAGAAATACACAGAAAAGTACAAAGCATCATTCTGCCATCTGATGAAAAATATTTACATTAAAACAGTTCCTCCTACTGTCCATTAATATTTAGACTCACAGGAAATGATTCCAAACATCCACTAAAAATTTCTCTATCGCAGAAGCATTTAGGAGAGAGCACAAAGAACAAACTCAGCCAGTGGGACGAGTTAATCTCATATCATTAATGTTCAATGTCAAGCTGCATATCACTGCTCAGACTAGTTCACATTAACACTGTCTCTGTTTTCTTAGCATTTAGTTATTTACAACAGAAAAATAAACTCAACTATTTCTTGGAAAAATCCAATGAACTGTCCTGCAAAATTCCACACACGTGGAGCTGGCATCATGATTAGACAGACTGGCAAGACAAGCCTTGAACCTTCTGGAGGGTATTAAAGGAGAGAACTCCTAGAGATCACCTGCCTTTGACATGGAACATGTCAGCACCTTTAAATAAGTGCCTCAAAGCCTCTGTGTGCTTTCAAATGTACAGCCTTCTCCCTACCCCACAACTCAACTGGACTGCACTTTTAATCACTAGTTCTTTCCCTCCACAAGTTTCTTGTTGTGCTTTAAAGAATTCCTGAAAAATTACTATTTTGGTGCAGTTTTTCATACAGCAAATTTTTATTTCACTCAGTTTCATTCTTTAGAATGAAGGTTGGTGAATACAGGAAAGAAATGGCCCACATTGGGGGACATATTGAGACACCCATCTACTGCAGAAAGCATTCAACACTTCTGCACCCCGGAGGAAGGCTTTTCATTTCCAGAAATATAATTTTTAAAAGTAACCAAGTAAACAACAGTGCTGTAACTGGGTGTTTTCAGGAGTATTAAAATGACCATCCTTCATGGATTTACGTCTTCTACAAAAACACAGTGAGCAACAGTTCACAAATAAAGATACTTAAGGAGGCAATCTTGTTCTATCAGTAATAACAATGATACAGCAACAAAAACACATTCCAGTTTAGAAATTAATAGCAAGTGTTGCAAATTGTGGGTTGAAGTGCACGATTTTCTCCAAGTGAAGTCAACAGCTGAATTTTGGTTTCTAGAGAAAAAACAGACGAGTAATTTTTCTTCAGGGAAAAGGGCCATTTTTTCAAGAGCACTGTGAGGGTGTGAGGCAGTCATCACGAATCATGATGAAAACACTCACAGAATCATAAAAACACAGTGCTGAAATGTTCTTCTCTTCTGAACAGGTAGAGGCCTTCAGCAGCACAGAAAACGGACAGAGTAGTGCAAATAGGGTGTGTTCTTCACATTTAAAAATACCAAGGCTATCATGCTGCATTTCACCTTTGAAATAAAGGCAATCCACCTGAGCTATTTACCTTGCATAATCTCTTCACATACTTGTTTTTTTTCCTCCTTAGGCTGTGCTTAGCACATTCCTCTCACATGCCCTTTAGGATTTCTTCCTGCACAAATTCCACAGTAGCCTCTTGAACCACTTTGAACCTTCCTGTAAAACACCTCACCTTTTGCAGAAAGGTGGATTATTCTCATCCTACTGCTATGCACAGTGAGCAAACCCAGAAGAAAAGCTTTCTGTTGGTTTGGTTTACTTAGTTCTGTTTTGATTTTTAAATAACCATGGTTTCTTTATCTATACATGTATCCTTCTGATTATTTATAGACCATCTTCTTTTGATGAGTGAAAATATCCCTTCCTACAACAAATAGAAAGAAGTTATTTCTCCACAGCATCTGTGCAGTTCTGTTCCTGTTTTCTAAATTTGAGTTTTTCATTCACCTCCCTCTCATTCTTTTTGGAAAAGCAGAAAGGAAGTCGAAAATCCCAACATTTGAATACCTCGACTTTTCTTTTTCCTGTGCAGTTTGGAAAAGCAGAAAAGAAATAAACAGCCATCCTCGGATACTATGCAAACAGTCTTCAGAGGTCATCTAATCCATCTTGCTAGATATAACCAGGAGCTAAATTACCCTCCACATTTCTAACACATGCTTTGATCTCCACCTGCTCCAGATGCTGCTCCAACTGAGAAGTTTTAGCAGGTGTTAAATGGATTTTTGGCACACTTCTGCTCTCCTGCTGCAATATGGCCTCCCCTCCCACAACTCCAAAAAATTTCAGACAAAACAGGGAACTCTTGGGTAAGCAGCTTACAGCAGAAGTATTGCAGACTCCTTTCTCTGTAACTCTAAGAAAAAGTAATTGAACAAGGCAACAAGCTAATCAGAAGAAGAAGAAAAAAAAGTCCTATATGTTTTGTTTTGTTTTTAAATATATTCTTATTTCTCAGTTGGAAGCAGTAGGAGGGAATGTAAAAAGACTGCTTCGTGCTCGTGAGCATAGAGATCGCTGCTATATGCATTGGAAATTACTCCAACATGACGGATTTAAATCATGAATAAGGATGAATCAACAAAGGTAAATAAAACTTGATTTGTCAGCAAAACTCAAATGAAAACACTTGTTTTCAGGAAGAATGTGAAGGCCTTATCTGCAGGTACTAGCAGAACAATTCTTGCTCAAGAGTCTGTGTACAGAGCTGACCATAAATATAGGTTTCCACAACCACAAATACAGTACTAGGAAAACCTTAATCTGGTGTTATTTCCACTTTAAAGAGGAATCTTTAAGATTCAGAGTAACGTATGTTATCAGTCCCAGAACAAACAAAGTCCCACTGTTACTTGAGAACCATGTAAGTCAAACACGAAAAAGTTTCTCAACAACCCAAGTAAGATAGAAGTCCTTCTCACATTTAGTGTGGAGAAAGGCTACCTGTACTGTTAGTCTGATTCGGTAGCAGAAGACTGGGCTGAAAACCAAAGCTCTCACCAATCGTATCTGTCACCTAGGAAGACTGAGGTGATCCTGCAGGTACTGTGCTTTCACTTAAGACTCTATGCCAACAAAAATCAGACGGGGCTCCTACACACAGGAGAGGACAAGCTTTCCTCAAGATCACACTGTTTTCTCCCATACAACTTAATATCAGTTAGCAGAGGTAGCCATATCTGTTCAAAAGCTACATATTTTTCCACTATTAGTTGGATTGTGTTCCATCAGTTTCCAAAAATACTCTGGTTTTGCCTCTAAGTCCTGCTGCGTTCATCTGAAATATCTTATCAAAATAAAAAGCAGTTGTAAGTTAGTGTACATTTTATGTAGAAGATTGATCAGAAACACTATGGAATAGTGTCAGTGGAAGTTTCCATAGTAGCTGCATACGTAACCTGTGAAGATTAAAATGGCTTTCTTTCCTTTTCATCCCAGTTTGAGACACTACTCCCTTTGGATAGGGATTGCCATTAACTGGCATGGAAACAGATCTAATGTTATGCTTATTTTCCACTGGAAGATAACTTGATAGAATCAGAGAATCACCATGGTTGGAAAAGACCTCCAAGCCCATCTAGTCCACCTACCAGCAGTATTTCTTTATTAAACCACATTCCTCAGTACAACATCTAACATGTGATGAACACCTCCAGGACGGTGACCCCACCACCTGCTGTTCCAGCACCTGACCACTCGTTACCCCTACATTCAACACAAGCTCACTTCCTCAGAAAAAGACAGGATTTCAAGATGCAATATAAGGCAAGAAGAACCACGCGGTCCTCACCACCATCAGCTCAGACACTGAACTCCAGTCACCACCAGCACAACTGAGGTGGAACCACACCGACAGGGTTCCAAACACTGCAGGATGTTCCTTACACGATGAGGCAGTGCATTTAGATTGCTTTTATTCCCATCAGAGCTTGGAACCCCTCCCAGCCAACGCTCAGCACTCAGCCTTTTGCACATCCCTGAGACAAGCACGTTGACCAGCAGCTTCCAGCGCCGTGCGGCTCTGACAAACACCAGCCGCGGTATTCTTAGTGAGGTTGTAACTACATTCACAAAGCAACGCAGCTGCCACACACCTCGTGTAGTTGTTACAGTATCCAGCAGCGTTCTCACCACGACAAGTGGATGTTCGCGAGTCGGGAACACCTACTTCTCGCTAGCACAAAGCGGTCCTTTCGGCTCACGGACGGGGCGAAGAGTTTGCCTCGCACTTCCCGCCGCTGAGGCGGCACTCTGCAGACCCTCGCGCCGCACCCAGCGCTCCCCGCTCCCCCCCGCTCTGCATTCAGGCGCCCCGCGCGCGCCTCCCCCGCCCCCCCAATCCGATCCATCTGCCCGCAGGCGCGCGCACGAGGGCCGTCCCAACGGCTGCCGCTCGTGCTCCTGCGCGCGCCTCACCTGATGCAGGCGCTGCCCGGCGCGTGCGCCGCCTCTTCTCCCTCCCCCCCACCCCCTGCCTTTCCCGACTCCCTCGCGCGCGCGCGCGCTCGCGGCGGTGGCGGCGGGCAGGGCTTGGGCCCGTGCGGGAGCGCGGCACCATCCGGGTCTCGTTTGGTCGTCCCCGGGCGAGCGGCCGCGATGCATCTCCACCAGGTGCTCACCGGCGCCGTCAACCCCGGGGACAACTGCTATTCGGTGGGCAGCGTCGAGGACGTCCCCTTCACGGTGAGGTTGGGGGGGGTGGGGAGGGCGTTTTGTAGGCCCGCGGGAGGGGCCGGAGGGGATTAACCTGCAGGGGCGGCCTGCGGGGTCGGGGCCGCGGCCGCGCGAGGGCGGAGGAGGGGCGGCTCTCCGTGCGGCGCTGCGGGCCGGGAGCTGCGCGCCCCCCTCCTGCGAGGCGGCTCGGGCGGTGCGCGGCTGGGGGGGCCGCCCGCCGCTGCTCAGACACGGCTGGCTCCGCGTGGTGCTCCCTTTAAGGAGGGAAAGAAAGAAGCGAAGCGGATTTCAGGAGTCTGCCAAGTTGCGTAATAAACGCGTCCATCAGCCGCGGGCCGGTCGTTCTGTCGATGGTCAAGTCGGTTTTCCCGTCTTTAGTTTACGGTGTGCTGGGCGGATTGTAGCGAGCCATCAGCCGCAGCGCTCGGCGCGCCGCATCCCAGCAGTGCGCGGTGGCTGTGGATACATTGTCTCGCTAGATTGCCTGCTAACGTTCGCAAGATACTAACTACAAACCGGATAGATGATGCAGAGCGCCATTTCTTGCCCAAGACAACCATCAGCTGACTTGTCCAGCATTTAAAGCCTGCTTCGGGTTAACACACAGGTCTAATTTTGGTATAGAGTGCTGAAATTCATAAGGAATAAGAGGTGCCATCTTTCTCTTTCTTTCCTTGTCTTGCTGCTGTGCAGCCATGCTGATATTAGAGGGCCTCTTTTGGTATTTACACAATAACATAGCCATACATGTCATATATATAAACATATGTCATATATGAGCGTGTTTCCTTTGGCTCTAACAATCTGAAAAGTCTGCACTATAAAAGTCAACTTTGTGCTATTTCTCATGATAATAATATCATCAAACATGATGAAACAGCAACATAAATTACAGCTCACGTAACACTTTTACAAGAACAATTTGTTTGGGTTCTTTGTTTGTTTGTTTGTGGGTTGTTTGGTTTTTGTTGTTGTTTTTTGTAGTCATTGTATTTTGTTATTCCATTAAAAAAAAAAAGAGAAAAAAGAAAAAGAATCATGTAGTAGCATGTTTTAACTGTAGAGCTGCATATAACAGACCTCACTTGCTCATCTGGCTGCTGTGTCTGAGAAGGAACTGTTACAGAAGGAACTACAGGGATGGGCGTGACATTGAATGCACTTCCTGGACATCCACAGCTATAACTTTTCTCTTTGCTTTTTCTCCCTTCTGTTTTTGATGTAGGCTTTTAAATTCCAGGCCAGCTTAGCTGGAGCTCAGATGATACATTCCACCTAATAAGTGTACTTGTTTAGGGCTTTAGGTGAATGGCATCTAGTTATTCTGAGCATAAGAAAGGAAAAATAAAAAATTTTGCTATTAAACTTTTTAAAACTTAATTTGCTAAAAAGAAACAGGTCATAGTGACTCCATAAAGTGAAACAAATCCAAAGAAATAGGTGCTGGGACCACGTAGCTAGTAGTTTTTTTGTTATTTATGTTTTAGTGTTAAATGACAGCTTTCTGTTTGTCATTCTGGTATAATTCAGCATGCTTTCCAACCTGCTGTGAGCAGGGCTTCTTGTCCTCCTTTCAGCAGTTACCACTAACTGTGTTTCACAAAGGAGCATGCAGAAGTTACGGGTGGTCAGAGCTGATTGCTGTGCAAAGGAGTCTTTCAACACACACACCCCAACTAACCAGAAAAGGTATTCATTGTCTGCACCTTGTGGAGTAACTTGCAGCCAGTATGTTTTTCAAAGATTATAAACTACCTCCATTTTTCAAACCCTGTTTGGTTTCACTCAGCTCAGTACAGTGTCCTACTGTATCAGAGCCTAAGCCTGGTACTCCTGCATTCAATTAGAGCTTTGACATTGCTCATTTCAATGGGCTCAGATCTCAAGCAAACATTGGCAGACCACAGCTTATTAGCTGCTTGTGGATCCTGCAAGTCATCTTGGCGTTCTGGCAGTTTTGCAAATCCATTTAATTTTAAAGTTACCAGTGACATTGGAAATGGAGGTTGGCAGGTATTCCATGTGGGTGGTTTTGCTGCACTGGTTTCATTCAGTGACAGCTTACAACTGTTTATCTAAGGCCTCTGCACTGTGATCCATTACAGTATCTCAGCATTTCTTCCCCATCTTTCCTTTTTGCTTGGCTTACCAGTTTTCCATTCCTTCCATCAGGCTGTGCAGACGATTAGTCTATTGCCTTGAATTCTATGGCCACTCTTCTTCTGGCAGGAGAGATCTGTGCTGACACAAAAGATCTCCTTGAAGATGTTGTCAGCTGAGTCCCTCAGAAGGAACTACTGTTAAATATTATAACTATTATGGCACTTTCCTATTCTTTGTTGGTGTAGTGGGGCTACCAGTGAAGCACCTTTAAGGAATGAAAGAAGAATTTAAAAAGAGGATTTGACTGAAACATGTTCTGTTCTGGTGTGAGCATGATAATATATTGAGATAATTAGAAATACAATAGAAATAAAAGTAATCAAATGGGAAGCTTGTACTTAGACAATACAAGGTGATTATGTAGAAATACCTTTCAGTACAGGAAAATATATGGATCTCTTCTGTTTTGAAAAATGTGGACAGTGTAAATGTGAAAAAGTGAACACATTTTCAAATGAGGGTGTGCCTTTCCTTCAAAGTGCTGATACTGCTGGTACTGCTGAAGTTTTATAGCAAATACGCTTCTAAAGAACTTCAAGAAACAAGAGACTTTCTCAAAATAAATACTGACACTAAAAAAAATGACCTCAGAACCAAAAGTGCTTCCTCAAAGAACCCGGAGCTGCAGGCTGATACCTGCAGGGAAAGTGCTCTGGCTGAGGTCTTCCATGGACTGACATAGGACACTTAGGTGCTGTGCCACATGTAGGCAAAGAGGAGAAACAGAAGAAAGAATAGTAAGATTTCACTTAGGAAACAGATCTCTACGTCTTGATGATTCCTTAAGAAAAATAAAAGAACCTTCTGTAGAACAGAACCCTTTTGCTTACTAACCAACTTTTTTAGTTAATTTCATAAAAATGGTAAATGCTAAAATTAACCAGCAAAATGTTCTTTTGTTGCAATGATAACAGCTGGGGAGAGGGGATTGGAGGGGGGAAACTAAAACATTTTAAAAAACAACCTACTACCTTGCCCTTCACAGGGCAAACAGACATACACAAGCATTAACACTTTTTCTGGTTTGTCCACTATCAACTATACACACACAGGCATACATATTTAACAACAGTAAGCATAACTGAAGTTGAGAAGTGTTTTCCCTTCCCTGTGTTATTTCTGAGGCTTGAGTCTGTACCTCTTTCAAGTCAAATTATCAATACCAACAATGAAAAAAAAATAGGGTATTTCCATAGTTTAAGATCTTATTTTAAGTGGACCAATGCCTTTTCTTTCTTAATGTATCAAACAACATTTTAAATCTTGTCCCTTAGTTTGTTGGTATTAGTAATTAGAAGGCAGACTGAGGGACAAAAAACTGAAAATGAATCTCTGTCGTTTTCATTGCTTACCCTTTGAAGTAGGTGAATAAAATATTGGAACTCCAGGACCTGCTTCTGTTCTCCTGTCTTTCTGTGGGCATTCACAGCACAGTCTCCATCTTCTTCACCCTAAATGTGAATGTTTGCTGAACTGTCCAGCTTTCCACACCACTCGTGGAGTTTGTTTTGCAACAAAATCCAATATGAGAAGCTGAGCAACAATAAAGCAGGAAGATTTTCTGTTCAGTGCCAGAAGTTACTTCAGTATCTCAAGTCTCTCTCACTCCCACTTTCTGGAAATAATTGTATTCAACTTCTGTAATAATTTGTTCCCTTCCAGCCAGGGTGTAATAATGCATGGCCTAGTCACAAAGGAGCTTAAGGTATTTTCTTACAGACAATCTCCCTCTAACCACCTTTTAGCAGTTGGTTCCCCCCTCCTCCCTGCTTGCAGTATACTGATACCTCAGTATCAGTTCCTCAGAGCTTCCCAGAACAACAGCTGTAGGTTTGAGGACTCAGAAAGACAACCTGCATTACCTCATTTTTGTGCCATGGCCTTGGAGATCTTTCAGTCTAGGCTTTGTGTACCCAGTTCTAATTTTGACATGCAACTACACAGTCGCAGGACTACTCTGGACATTTAATTGCTGCATCTACAGATAAAATGTGTATTCTCGTGTTCAGGTAGGTATTTAGCGAGGGGACCACATTATATAAGGCCATATCAAAAGCTTGTATTTAGAGCAGTGACAATAGTACTCACAAAACCAGGTGTTTGCAAGCAGTGCAGTTACTGACCTGAACTATCTTCAGATTGTAAAATCCATAAACATACTCTCAGTTAATGACTGTGCTGGTAGACGTCCTGTGGAGTGGTAAATTGTAGATGCTTAAAAAAAAAAGAAGAACCTGGAATTATCATTTCATTAATAGTTTCTTTCCAAGGACATGCATAAACACTTACTTTAAATATTGTGGTAGCAGAAAGGTCGTTTATAGAAACAATGATTTTCTGGACTTCAGAAAAACTAATAGTAAAATATTTTATCACAGTTCCACTTCTCAAGTTGTGACATTTTTCTTTGTATATTTGCCAGTTCTCAAGCTGGGAGACATAATAATTCTCAGATGAAATCCCACAATCCTTTCCCTTAGAAACAACCATCCAGAATTCCACAAGTCTGAAGAGCCATGTGTTAAGATTCTTTAGCAGGCCCAACTGTTTGACAGCTGGAGGAGCAAATTTTTTCAGAGCTCTCACTGAAAAAAAAAGTAAAAACTAAATCTTTTTCATATTGCAAGCAACACAAGGTTTGAGGGAATGTTAGCACAAGAAAAAGTTTAAAGGCCTGTAAATCAGATAGAGATTAACATGAGGTAGATTAAAAATTTCTACAGTCTGAGTACCTGCTTTTTCTACTTATGTTGCTGTTCCCTTCCTGTCTTTGCAGTGACTGTGCTTTCATTAAATTCAGCCTTTTTTCTTCATATCTTCACTGTTCCTTCCCAGGAAGATCAGAAGTAAACATGAGACTGAGATCTTGTAGACTTGTCTAGTTCCAGTGGTTTTCCTACACCATTACCACACAGTGACCAGCAACAGGCATTAATCTTGGACACCTATAGAAATACTCACCTAGATAGCCTTTAAAATGACTGACCTCAAAAGTGAGGGTAGGACTCAGTAATCTAGAAATTATAGTGAGAAAAGCAAGAGGCAAAGTGATTTTATGGCATCTGGCACTGACTGCTGAGAGCAGGCACATTCCTGCTTAATTCAACTGCTGTAAAATGTGTTCTGCTGTATTAAAATCAGTGGAAAACTTCCTTTAAGGAAAGAAGCCTCCTACTATGACTTTTATTTACTTTGAAACAGCTTGTTAGTAGATTTATGAAAGAAAGGGATTTCTGTGCTTGAATGTGGGACTTCAGTACAACAGATCATCTGCGATTATGGGGCTTAGAGTATTCTAGTGCACAGGAGCAGGTGAAAGGTTGGCAGACACACGTGTTTATTCTGCCAAAAACAAGTGCTGCAAGCTATCACTATACTATAAATTATTCTTGCATTGTTTATACTGCAGTTTGTCTATGAGATACTATGAGATACCGTGTTTATCTATGAGATACAACTTACCCAGGACAAATCTTTGCTTTGCAGTATTGTAACAAGCATATTTTAAAACCCAGAGAAGTACAGAAATGGGATCCTTGTGGAAAAGCGACATTTGATGTTCTTTTTAAAGGGGGTGGAATGGTGACAGCAGGATGAACTTCTACTTGACATTTTTTATCACTGCACATTATACTCCTCTATCCAACAAATGCAAAAGCATAGAACTCTAAAGCAAAAGACAGTACTACTGTATTGCACACTTTGTGCGTAGAGCAGTCAAACCTCAATACATTCACATCTGCTTGTAGAAGGACGTAACCATCCCAGCTGTAAATTCTTCAGATATTGGCATTGGCTGCTCAGATTCCTTTTCCCTCCTGATAATCGTTCCTAGTCTGAAAGGCAGAGTAACTCCTAGGAGTCGATTTGTACTTCTTGATTATCCTGCTCTTGCTACCAAGTTGATGAGGAATGAACTCTCTACATAGCAACATAAGATCCATTACTTGTTTAAATTGAGATTTTTACGTTTTTCAGAACATAATTCTAATAATGATTTAGTTGACTTTTTTAATGATTTAGTTGCTTGCGCGTTTGTTTCTTAATAAATTTTAATTTGTATTCCTTTTAAAAATCATTTCAGGCATATGGTTCTGGTTGTGACATTGTTATTCTGGCAAATGACTTTGAATGTGTACAAATTATTCCTGGTGCTAAACATGGAAACATTCAGGTCAGTTGTGTGGAGTGCTCCCAGCGACAAGGCAGGGTAAGGATTGGGTTTTTTATTTTTCGTTTTTATATAGGCCTAAAGAAAAAGGATACTGAAACAATTCAACACAAAACATTAACGTGATTACTGAGTTAATTAAATGGCAAAGATTTTTACTGATCTGTGGTTTTCAGCGCCATTCAGAGGATTGCTTTAGTACAGTCCATTTTTGAAAATTTTAGGTTGTGGTGCAGGGAGAAGGCAGGAGTTACATTTTAAGAATGGATTTTATGCCTTTCCAACATATGCAGTAACAAACCTCTCAAAATGTGGAAAGATATATTAGTTGCAGTATGGCAATGGTATAAAATTTCCTGCTTCTGTGATTCCAGTAATTTTCTGCTTGCATATAGTAAAACATGGCAGGGATAAATAATTTATGTAAACATAAATAAATTAAAGGTTCTTTATTTTTTCAGAAAAGCTCAGGCACGTTTACAGTGTTTCACAGTGCTGCAATATGAGCTGTCATAACTGTGTGGCCCTTGACTGGCTATGTGGCTTTATTTTAAATCCCCACTTAATGCTGAACAGACAGTCTAGATTGCCATGAAAAAAAACCAAAACCTTTCTATGAAGTATTGCAGAGCACTGAGCACAAATTTTGCTTATCAGTTCTGTTTGCCTACCATGGAGGCCCAGTGGGAAGAGAGATTCCATCTTGCACAGGTGGCTTCTGCAAGACCACTGTGAACCTCTGCAGGGTTCTGCATTCAGGACTCTGAACTCAAAGTCCATTCTTTTTTGGTTTGGTGTTTATTTTAATTTTCTCCCCACCGTGTGAAGAGGAAGTAAGATTTCATAATGTGGTGAAACTCTTATTTCACTTCTGTGTCGAAGAGAATGGGAGGAACTTTAAACAGTTGTTTTAAAAATCTTTTATACAAGAAAACAGTTAAATGGTTGTCAAAAGTACTTACAAGCATTTGAGTATTGGGAATATTACTAGATAAATTCATGATAAAGGCCATCTTGTACATGAAGGGTTTCTGTAAAACAAGTAGATGAAGGAAATTGAGTGGTACAAGAATTTCAGTTTTTCCATTACTATTTATCTTCCCTGACAATGTAATTTAACTATTCAAAATGGAATCCAATTTCTTCCCCTTTTCTAGTAATTATTATTTAGTGGTACAAAATGGAACGTGGGGTCACACTGAGACCCAGACACTAATAATTAATTCATTAGTTAGTTGTAAAGTAGGGAAAACGAGCAGAAGTAGTAAGATATCAGCTTTCCCTTACGCATTAACAATAGTTGCCTTAGAAGTATGTATTAGATCTGATTGACAGTGTTCATCCCACTGAATGAAATATCTTCCATACTTACAGTTAAAATCTTAAAGATGGGCTAGTTCAAAGGTATGCATTTCTGATCTTCCTATAGAAAGTATTTGTATAATACTCTGAATAACATTTGTTTTCATTTTACTTGCTGAATATCTGTACATTGCAGTAGTACTGTGGAAATTCTTTAGATTCTTTCAAAGATTTTGGAGCAGTTAGGCTTCTCTCCTAACCTTATATCTTGAATCTTTGGGGTTTTTTTTCCAGATTGCAGCATCATATGGAAATGCTGTTTGCATTTTTGAACCGCTTGGTGTAAATTCTCATAAAAGAAACAGTGTAAGTATATATTTTATGATTGTAATTCATTTTAGGTTCTGAAGGAAAAGTATGTCTGTCGGTTATTAAATTGGCACCCAAAAGACTACTGGATACACATTTCACAGCATCCATAGTAATGGATAATAATAATAAAAGATAAAATAATGGATGAGAAGGATCTTCCACTGTACAGAGCTGGGGATTGCAGTGTTCTCAAGTTCACACCAAGATTTGATGCAAGAGTGACATAGCAGTCAGCTCATATTTCTTTAAATTGACATGCCAGGTCTGTAATACAGAAATAGGCCTTGGACTTGTGTATCCACGCTAGTTTAAACAGCACAGTCATGGCCAAACGTCGTGTTGATTGTGTTCACAAGTGGGTTTTGTGATCTGTTGCATTTGTGCTGCCATTCCTTACGTTGTTACAAATGTGTGATGCAACCAGCTTATAGCAATCTACAGATTCATTTGTATCTGATGTGACTCTGATGTGTTTAATTTTTATTAAACAATTGAAATTATTCAAGCTAGACTACAGAGTCTGCCACTGGGTCCTGACTTCGTTTGTAACAACTTAGTGAGAAATAAATACAAACGCCATTGCCGCTGATGTTAAAATTAATTTTTACTCTTCTTTAAACTGCAGCAGCTGAAGTGTCAGTGGCTTAAAACGGGGCAGTTTTTTCTCAGTTCTATGACTTACAACTTAGCCTGGGATCCTCAAGGTAATGTGAAATTTGTGATGCATTTGTTTAATGTTTATAGTTAGAAAACTTGAACATAAATTATTTTTATTGAAATGAAGTGGAAGCATGAATACAGACATTTTAGCTGATCCATTCTTGGCAGCGTAGCATCGGATAAAATGCATTTGTGAAGATGCTATGCCAAGTATTTTGAGTGCTTTATGTAAGATTTTAGTTTGGGAATCACGGTGTTAAGTTGATAACTGCCTTAAATTACTACTAATAATCATTTAAATATATTGCTGACTTATAATAAAACTCTACCAAGAGAGAGATATTGATAAGATATCTAACAGTGTGCATTATCTGAGACATTAATGGCTGTTCAGCATCTTCAGAGGTCATTATTAAAAAGTATCTGTCATTCAAAGTGATCTTAAAAACATCAAAACCCTAAAAGTTTTTCTTGAAAGGCATTATAAATTCAAAATGTTTTGATAAAAACAGATGTATAGTATGATTGAATACTCTTTCCTATTTAAAATGGACTTTATAAAGTTGATTGTTCAACCTGTTTTTAATTATTTTCATCAAAATATGATGACAGACATTAAACATCATTATGCATGTATCAGTTTGGTTTCACATCTTCAACATTACTCACATTCAGGTAACAGGCTGCTGACAGCAACTGACTATTTGCAACTGTGGGCTCCACCGTCCAGTGACATTCTAGAAGAAGATGAAGATGATCCTGATAATCAGATAAAAGATGATAAAGTTCTCCCAGTTCTGAATGACTGGAAATGTGTCTGGCAGTGCAAGTGAGTGAGACAGTTCTCATTTCAAGACAGATTGTGATGCCAACTCATATATCAACCCTATCTTCTCTCCAAAAATGTATTTTAAAATACTCTTTTAAATAAGCTTAAACTATCATAAAATTCAAACAATGGAAGTTACTCCAAAAAAAAAAAACCTCATTTTTTCAGGTGACCTTCAGTCACCCAGTAACATATCAAAGGCTTAACTATAGCCCTGGCAATATGTATAAATTGTCCCTGTCTTCTCATCCTTTGAAAGTAGTGCTGAGATATTGGATGTGACAGAGGAGCAGCAGCAAGCAGACATACAATGCTGATCAAGATGAGAGCTGTTTGATGCCTTCCTATCATTTGTCTTGGCCTCTGGGAGTAGAAAAGCAAGTGGACCAAACTTCACTTCCATGATCTCATTAGATCTAGCCTAGGCTTACCATATTTAAAACTACTGATTTTTTAATGTGCTGTTTTTCTTTAAAGAAAGCTATATGAAAATACTAAATACTATGTTTTTCTTGTAGCAAACACTTCTTACGCTTCTGCCATATCTAAAGTATGCTTAAAACAACAACTATAAAATACAAATATAGTTTAATTAAATAATGAAATTAACATTGAATTAACTAAATATACTTGGAGTAATACTGTACAATAAATAGACTTTACTTACATTTTAAAACTTTACTCTTGTGTTCTTTAGGACTGCAGTATCAGTACATTTGATGGCCTGGTCTCCTGATGGTGAATACTTTGCAACAGCTGGGAAGGTAAGGATAACAAAAACAACAAGATAAGCTCTTCAGTTGTGTTCCTTTTTATGACAGAAGAAAATAAGTAATATAGAATGGTCCTACAGCCATGTATTCTACTGTAGTCTGAGCTAAGTAATCATCTTCTGTATAATGCTCTATTTTCACGTAATTCCACGAATTTCAACAACAAGAAATTTGATTTAGCTGTTTACTGTTACTGAATACTTCAGAATTGTCCTGAAATTACAGTGACAGTAATACAGACTCAGTTATATTTTAGATAAAGTATACTTAGATGAACTTTCAGATATGCGTAAACAATTTTTTCATCCTCTATTTGAAATAATTAAGATAAATTTTAGATCGTGAAAAACATATGCATTTAAGCAAGTGTAACGTGCATATCAGTGTACAAACAGAAAGATTTTCTGTTTGCAGTGAAGTCTGAGTTTGCTATCAGTTCTTAACTTCTAATTCCATTTGTCATATTTTTTGTCAAATTGCTATTCAAACTAAGTTTTCAACTAATAATTCTCTTTAATGTTACCCTCTCATTTGAGTTCTGAGAGTCTGGATAGTTGGGCATTTATTGCTTGTGCTAATGTTGGTCAAACGATATAGGAATTTAGAAACCTTTATCTTCTTAGACTTATTAAAGAGGACAAGGAATCACAAGCTGTCATTACTTTATGACTAAAAATCTAATAATGACACCTCAAAAATATTACATTTAAAGTCACTGTAGTTAGAAAAATAACAAAACTTTTGCTTTGTTCCATGCTTCTGTTTTCCATGAATTTAGTTTCATACAGTTAAGAATTTGGCTAAGCGTGTGAGGCAGATGGTTCCAGTAGTTATTTCCTGTTTGTAGGACAGATCCATCTTAGTTCCTTCACAATTTCATCATAATTTTTAACAGTGCTGTCTCTCAACCTTTCTTCTTGCAGAGTCTGGTCAGATACTGCCTTTTACATGTTTGACAGGAAATAAATAAGAGCTCCCAGAGATTTGTAATTTATTTGTTTATTGTGCATCTACACTCCTTTTCCAGTGCTGAAATCCAAGGATGTATTGCACAAATATATGCAGTGTATTGTGGTCATCCTAGTAATGTTGCCTTAGTTCACATCAGTGCAGTCACGCTCCAGTCCCACTTGACAGCATTTGGAGTATTGCTGTGTCAGCAATTCACCTCTGTTTCACTTAACCAGATCAGTAGTACCCAGCCATTCAAATAGGAAAGGTAGCACATGTTCTGCTGGTGGAGGGAAGGGTTGTACTATGCAGCCATTTGTCATTCATGGGCCTATTGGCAGCAGATACAGTGCTTCCCACAAAAATCAGGCTTCCTGTGCATGGGAACCCCCAGGGACTTAAAGCACAAATTTTCCTAAGGGAGAAATTGACTGGTAATAAGTTTAATATTGAGCTAGGAGTGGCAGCCTGTTTCTGGCTTTCATTTTTGCAGAGGAATGGATGTGGGATTGAAGCACACATATATAATACGCAGAAAATGCAAAGAGAACCAAGAGGAATGTAGGGGGACAAACGGACTGCAAGAAAAATTACTTCTGGGAGTGGTGTGTTCCTAGCAGAATATTTATTCAGTCCTGCAACTCATTTCAGGATTACTATCAGTGAAATTTCTGGTCCCAGGAATGGGCTGTCTGCAAAACTGCAAATAGTTCCGGGGCATAGATTGAGTATTCATGAAAGGTACTGAACAGCAGTCTTGTATACCATTTTAGTATTTTCTTTTTCTGACTTTTTTCACTTGTAGCTAGCTAATCCCATGTTATTTTGCTGCTTTACCTAGGATGATTGCCTCTTAAAGGTTTGGTATCCTATAACTGGTTGGAAGTCATCTCTTCTGCCCCAAGAGAATGAAGAGAAGAAGAAATGCTCAGGGGTTGTCAACTTCTCATTTGCCTATTTAGCTCATCCTCGAGCAGTGACAGGATTTTCATGGCGTAATATTAGCAAGTACATGCCCAGGTTTGAAAGATTTAATTTTTAAGACAAGCAACAAACCAGCAAGCAAATATTTGACCAAACTGTTACGGCTTTTTGTATTGTTTTGTTTTTTAACACACTGCTTAAAGTTTGGCCATGAGCATGGTTCAGTTTCACTACTTATGCTTTGAAGAAATTGAACATATCCAGCATATACGAAGACATCCGTTCCTTATTACAACAATTATAGTCATGTTAATAGGAGAGATTCATTCTAAAATATGGTCTGAGCTTCTCAAGTTCTGCCAGACATTGTGACATTGGAAATAAAACTTATTCTTTGAACAGTTAGCACTGAGTAAGATTTTTTCTGAACCTTGTTGTATATGCTGCTGTTTAATTCATTGTTTGATTCGCTTGTCAGGATTTAGTAAAAATGTATGTATTCTTCACATTATCCAGCAAAAAAATAACTTCAACAGTTCCATAACTGCAGTTTTATAATAACTGTTGCATTTATCAAATAATAACCACCCCATGTTCACATGCACTTTTGCTAATAATTTATGAGTTTATCTGTCAGCATGTTGAAAATCCCTACTGTTATAAAACCTTTAGTTTTATAACATACAAACCTTTGTAATATATAAACCTTTAGTTTAGAGGGAGAGGTAGGAATTCGGAGGAAGTAGCAATGACTGCTAAATATTTGTGTGTTCTTCTGATTTTTGTTGTGTCTTTAATCACAATTTATCTATGTTGAGTAATATTTTTGATATGCTTCTCTTTAGGGGTTTAGTCTGCAATGTGTTACTCACATCATGTCTCGATGGCATCTGTCGACTGTGGGCAGAGACACTGTTACCAGAAGATACTCTTCTGGGTGAGCAGATATGTGAAACTAGCACTTCCAGCATTAGCAGCACCATTTCTCAATCTGGAAAGCACAAAGACAGAATACAGCATGCACTAGAGGTACAATACTTGTCAATTTTGTATTTCAGAATTGTTAAAACTTGTAAACATTTATTAGAAAATTTAAACTATGCAGAACTCTAAGACTGTGTATTATTTAATTCTTGCAAGTGTAGCAGAATAGTCTGCATTATTTATAGATGTATATTATTAATCACTGAAGAAATAAGGTTCTGTTCTGCACCTAAACTACATCTTCTTAAATTTCAGTCTACTTTTTCCATAGCTAACTAAAAGGGTTGAGGAGAGAGCATGACTAATATGGAATAGTAAGAAGGTTTCATTTTGACTGCGTCTGAAAGTGTGTAGATAAAAATAAACAGTAGAAGCAGTAAATACACTTTACTTTAGGCATCTGAGTAGATAATTGCATTTCCAGAATTATAAAAATGTGAGGCTCTAAGTTTCAGTAGCAGTCACATGCAGTATATTATGTTTACAGGAAAAGAAAACCTGTCAGTGTGAAAACAAAACCAAACAAAAGCACCACTCTTTTGTAGAATAGAACAATCAGGTGAAGTTCTTACTTCTTACATATCATGACTGACAATACCCAGAGAGGGTGGAACCAGCTATGTTTCAGGCTATTGAATAAGCTGCAGTCTCCATGTACTCTCACTAATTTTTAGTTGCATAAAAGTAATTCATTATAAAATTGCTTTATAACTGTTTCTGCTTTTAGACTGTAATAATCTTTTTCATGATTGTTACACAAAATAGTTGGATTTTTTTTTGTCTTTGAAGCAGATAATGTAAGGACCTTTCTGGAGACTGCTAAAAGAACTCCGTCTTCAGTCAGAACTGATACACATGAGCTTGATTAATCTCCTTTGAAATGAACTTCAAGTAATCTTTTTGAAATTAGTCTTCACTTCTTAGGGAGAAGGAAATTTTACAGCTTCACGTTTTACATAAATATTTATATCTTAATTTTCTTATTGTTTCTTAAATTGTTTTTTCTAACTGTACCAGACAATTCACCACTTGAAAAATATGAGAAAAGGACAAAGGAGGTCTTCCGTTCTTGTTACCCACACAGATGTGTTGCCAGATCAGCAGGGTACTCATGAAGTTCAGCGTCACATTTCACATCACGCAAATGCACTCGGTCACTTCCACATAGCAGCAAGCATCAACCCTAATACAGGTAAAATGCAACCATTTATCAAATTGTTAATAGTAGATTTGAACAAAATGGAAGAAATAAACAGAGGGGTCTGAGGTCCGTGTTCTTTGCTATGCATCTTTGAATACAAGGTATTCATAGAGAGAATATTATTTCATAACTGGTTTTTTTTTTTTTTTGCATAGAATTATGTAAACAAATCGGTCTGAATATTTTAATTACTTATTAATTTTTTCCTAAAAAAATCAGACAGACAGAATGGTTGTGGTTGAAAGAGACCTCTGGAGATAATCTTGTCCAATGCCTCTGCTTAAGCAGGGTCATCTACAGCCAGTTGCCCAAAACTTTCAGCATTCTTAAAATCCAAATTAAATTTATTTTTGCATATCAGAAGTAAAAGAAATTTCACAATCTAAATTTCAAGCCTGCTTCATGCTTGATTGTTGGATTTAGGGAGGCAACAGTATATGAAGGAAGTATTTTAACTACAGAATATACAGAATGAAGAAAAGTTGTACAATATTTTTTTAAGGATAAAACCACTTTGTTTTTTGTAGAAGAAAAAGATTAAAGATACTACTTTACCTAAAGTCCATAGGTGAAGTGACAGCACTGCAACTTATGAAACAATTAAGCAATTAGAGCTAGTAAATACCATTTACTATTCTCATCACAATTTGTTAGTTCATTAATGATAAACTGTATTTTTATTGTTTTTAATTCATATGTAGGAACTTGACCTGAATCTTACTTTTCCTAAACTTAGAGGCAAAATTATGTTCTACCAAGAATGAATTAAATGTTCAATCAAGAAATCTGTTTATAATATAAGTATATATACATTTATATAGATTTAAGATACAGCTTTTTGATTTATTTACAACAATCCACAGATATTCCATCTGTTTTGGCTGGAACAGCTTTTAATACAGATGAAGGCAATGGAGGTTTCGTCGTTCACTGGTTGAATAATAAGGAATTTAATTTTACATCATCTATTGAAGTATTTATGCAGCATCTAAGAAAACTTTCTGAACAACAACTAGAAGAAGATTTTGATAATGCTGAGGTTGAAGACCAAGAAGAAATAGAAGAAAAAGAGAGAGGTTTGCGCATGAAATTGGATCACGGTTAGTAGCCTTGAGATCTATAGCACAAGAATAATTTTGAAACACATTTATTTAGTGCAGTAATTGATGCAAATATTTAGCACGAGAATCAGAAGTTATATTTTGTTATTAACCTAAAATAAATAGATAGAGCTACAATTTTGCCTCCTCAAATAATCAGGTGGCATGAAAAACTTAATGATATATTCCCTATTGGAAGACAATAATGATTTATTCAGTGAAAAAAAAAGGTTGCTTTGTTTTTCATATCTGTTTTGGAAATGCTTTATGGTTAGGAAATAAAGACTAAGACTTGCTCTTGATTTACCATACAGTCTGATTGTCAGTAATGAATAATGATTTGATGGCAAGCTTTAAGGAGGGTTGGACATTGTTCCACTTGAATGAAACTGCACTCTATCCAGTGTAAGCTTTGTGTCTTACACCTTACAGCATCCAGTGATCCCAGTTGTAGCTGTTCACAAAGGAACAGAGGGACATATTGTGAAATTAATTTTTGAAAACATGTCCTGCTGGAAAGACTTCACATTGCTGAGAGAATGTCACTTTTCCAGGAAATGTATTCCTTCAATTTTATTAAAGATTACAAACCCTATTTCATTTAAAATTCCAAAAATTTATTTTCCCTTGTTTCCTCACAGTTAAGAATAACGAATTACCTGACTAATAATGTACTAATAAAAACTTTTCTGCCTAAACAAGTAAGAGTTAATACTGAGGGTATTAACTAATGGGTATACTGAGGGTATAAACTAATAATGAAATATTGTCATTTATAATTCTTGGGTTCTTAAAATCTAGGTTAGTGCAATTTATTTTGTCATAATTCTGACTGCACATGCTACTTCATCAATGATCATATACCACATAGTTCATGATAACATTTTAAACAGAAATAAATATACTAAACCAGCATTAATACTAAATATCTGTTTTTATGTAATTGAACAGAATAATCGTAGTCAGGATAAGATTCTAAGTATCTCAATTTTGATGACTGTGTTCATTATTACTAATTAGGAGCAATAAATGGAGAGTTCTACAGACAGATATTTCTACCCTCAGTTTGCATGAATATTCTTATGAGGTAGTGCTGTCAACAGATTTTAAAATGTTTTCTTGTTTGGAATAGAAACAATGGTAGGAAAATATTTGAAATGGATAAAACACATTTCTGTTGCAGACTTGTCTATAGATAGAGAATCAGAGACAGGGACTGGTACAGGCTCTTCAGAACATGAAGATGGAGAACGAGAGGGAAGCCCCAAAACATCTCTAGGAGGAAGCCTGCGGATGCCTCTTCCAACAGTTTTGTTAGATCGGAAAATTGAGTTGCTGCTGACTGAATGGAACAGAAATCCAGATATGCTTTTTACCATTCATCCTGTCGATGGTACCTTTCTGCTATGGCACGTGAAGTATTTAGATGAATACACGCCAGGCATCTTTCGCCAAGTTCAGGTGTTGTATATTTGAAATTGGTTTATTACTTATGATCCTAATGAAGTCATTGTGTTCCTGCTATTTAAATCTGGTCATCAGAATGAACTTATAAGCATTTCCTGTGACATCTAACATGTATTTGGACTTGCACTGTGTTGTTATATTCTAATATTTTATTTTTTTTTCCCTTCCAGGTTTCATTTTCTTCTAGGATTCCTGTTGCATTTCCATCAGGAGATGCTAGTTCCCTTAGCAAAAATATTATGATGTATGCTTGCCCTGTCTTATTAAAAGATACCAGTAATGCTGTACATCAGAAGACAATGGACTTTTCAGATAAAACTCTAGAGAATAGAGGACCAGGCTTTACCCAGAGCAGTACAAACGTGAATATAATTTCTCCCATAGTAATGATGATTTCCAAGCATATAGATGGCTCTCTAAATCAGTGGGCAGTTACTTTTGCTGATAAATCAGCTTTCACTACTGTGCTAACTGTATCACATAAATTTAGGTACTGTGGGCACCGTTTTCATCTTAATGATCTAGCTTGCCATTCTGTTTTACCATTACTGTTAACATCTTCTCATCATAATGCTCTATTAACTCCGGAATCAGACAGTTCTCACGGCTCTGACAGAATAAGCAGAGTAATGGATCCTAGTAAACATCTGAAAGGTTCTTCTCGGCAACAGCTTAAAAATGCAGCAACTCGTACATTTCATGACCCAAATGCAATCTACAGCGAGCTGATTCTGTGGCGCGTAGACCCAATAGGACCTTTGTCATACACTGGAGGAGTGTCTGAGTTGGCCCGAATTAACTCTCTTCATACTTCTGCTTTCTCCAATGTAGCCTGGCTTCCCACACTCATTCCCAGCTATTGCCTTGGTAAGTACTCTTAGCATGATGCCATGTAAAATTAACACCAGTAGCCTTAGAATTTATTTTTAAAAATAAGTTACTGTTATATTTGGAATTTTGTACTTCTCAGCAGTTTCCTTGTATTGTGCCATGGGCATTCTTACTCCATTTGAGGCTAAGCTACTTCAAATTAGCGTAGTTTGTGTGGGCTAAGAGTTTGTAGTTACTATGGATCAGCTGATAGGCAGCAATTTCTTTGTTAGACTTAATAATAACTCTCATAACAGGACAAGGTGATCCCACTGCTCAGTATGTTAGGCAACCTTAAATCAACTACACTTTACAAAACTGCAAACGCTATTTTTTCAGAGGTCAGGATGTACAACATCAGATGCAATGCCCTGGGGGAAGTTTTTGTATAAAATTTTGATGCTCTCTGTTACATTTAAGAAAATTGTTGCTAGAAATGTTAATCTACTCTGTCACTTAGATGTTTATTTTTAATTATAAAAATGCTGTTGTAATAGTGGTTGTCTTTGTGGACAGTACTAAAAAATGTAAATTGTGAATGTAACATTATTCAAGTTTAAACTAATAACACTAGGATACTTTATTACAGTAAGGCCAGACTGACCTTGGCAATTCTTAAATGGGTATCAAAGGCACTGAACAACCTCAAAAATACTAAGTATGCTTAATAAATGCATAACTTTTCTTTGATTTAAAAAAAAAAAAAACTTTAATCACATAGTACAGTTTTTTGCTGTCTCGGTCTGCAAAGCTGCTATTCTGAACAGTTTACCTTAGACTACTTTAAATCATCTCCAATAACCTAGGGAAGGTAGAGTTCCAAGCACCTCCTCAGAGGTTCTCTTTGACAGCGAAGAGAACACAATCATTTTAAGGAATGGCAGTATTCTGTTAGGCAAACTATGAATTATGTTTATATACAAAAGTGAATCTCACTTAAATATTTCAACTTTTATGAGAAATCTTGGTTAAATAAATGAGCAGAAACTTACCCTGAAGACTTAATATTGGTGTTTTAATCCACATAATTACTTGGGTTTGTTTCACTTCAATATTTTATAACAGTTATTGTTAAAAACATTCAGATATTGTGAAGTGGAATATAAATGACTACCTGAGACTATTTGATGCCCTTTTTTTTCTTTAACTCTACAATTTCTTTTTTTCTACTAGGTACGTATTGCAACTCTGCCAGCGCTTGTTTTGTTGCATCTGATGGCAAAAACCTGAGGCTCTACCAAGCTGTTGTAGATGCAAGAAAGCTTCTGGATGAGCTATCTGACCCAGAATCATCTGTAAGTTTTATGTAGTGATGGCTTGAAATGTTAAAAATAGAAGTAGTTAAGGTAACATTTTTTTCCCCTCCAGTGGTTTGTCTTCATTTATTTGTGCGCATCAAGTTTCGTGTTGTTGCACATATAAGGCCTTAATTTTTAGTTTGTGTAATTACATATGTTTTGTAAATGTCTATAAACATTAGCAGACAGCAATTTTATGCATTACTACTAAAAATGGTTAACAGGGAAATTTTAGCAAGAGAGGGAAAGAAAAATGGGATTTCTTTCTTTGTCTTCTCAGAAGAGGGGAGTCAGGAGCAGCTAGGCAGGTAAAGAGGGAAGAGCAAGACCTACATGCACACACTTAATGTTGATATAGGAGGGAATCAGGGCAAGTTATTGTTAATAATTAATAACTCATATTTTTTGTTCTTTTATCTTTCTTTCCTATGACTTCAAGCAAAGTAAAAACTGCCCTTCTCATTGTTACTGAATAAACAAGCACATTTTTCCTGTTTCCATTTTTCTGTTATTTTATAAGCTATCCTGTAAAAATATCAGCTGTCAGTATTCTGATCAGTCTGACCAACCTGTTGGAGGAGTAATGAATGTGAATGCTCCAGCAACGACCTAGAGTGCATTCAGTTTATATATAGCCTGAATTGATTGATTTTTTTTTCTTTTAAATTTCATTGTTGTGACAAAACCTGAAGCTTTAAACAAAAGTGAAATGGTATATTTGAGTTCTCTGTGTTACAGATACTGAGTTATGTTATTATGAAAGGATAAATCTTAAAATAAACAACATTTTCTTTCCATATAAATTGGTATGTTATCCCCGTGAACAGTTTCAGACTCAAAGTGCAAATGTTCTGATAAGCACATTATTCATAACTGCCAAAATGAAAACAGGAAGAAGCCTAAGAAGCCTATTAACTATTCATGGCAACAACAACAACAAAAACAACAATCATTTTATTGTAAATGGTTGCAATTTCCTTTGTCTGAAGAGAAAATCTACTAACTCATCTCATTTTGCTTTGTTTCAGAAACTGATCGGGGAAGTGTTTAACATTGTGAGCCAACAATCTACTGCTCGACCTGGATGCATTATTGAACTTGATGCAATAACTAACAAAGTAAATAATTCATTAATTCCGTAGGATATCACATGAAGGTGTTTGATAGCTTTGTACGCTAATTAACCTAACATATTGAAAAGACACAAAAGAAATGACATTTCTCTATGGTGATAATGGCAGTGATGAATTTCCATGAATGTTGAGACACCTTTCAGGACCTTTCAGAACACTTTCAGGAGACAACTTTTAGCTGCTTGGATCTCAAAGTCCATTGCCATAGAGTGTAACAATATTTTCTAGGCACGAATCTTGTTTAAAATAAACTTGACCGAAGACTGGTTTATCTCCATCATGATTTAAAGGAAAAAAATAACAGTCACTGTCAGAAACTCAGCATAACATAGGGACAAATAACAACATCGAAAGATTAAAAATAGAGCTTAAGTCTTTTAAAATGTAGGAATCATATAGGACATAGTTGGTACTCACAGAAGTTACTGTGCTGGTTTCTTTAGGTAGTAGCCTTTTTAGGTAGTGACTTTTTTTTTATTTTTATTTTTTATCATGTTTTACTTAGAGATATAGGTATATTTGACAAATGTGAACAAGCATTTATCTGTTCTTCAATATTTCTTTCTCTATTCTTCTATGTCTTTTAACTATTAATCATATGGGACCTTTAACTCAGGTGTACAAAATATTTTTTCTAATATTTTTGTCGATTTTTTTATGAAATGATATGTGGAACACAGGAAAGGACTGTGAACCATCTTTATGATATAAGAAACAGTTTTTCTCAAGACTTCTGTTGAAAGACAATATCAAGACATCCTGGTTACCTTTAATGTTTTCTATTTCTCTTAGCTCCTTAGCTTCTAACCTCCCTTGTCACCTGAGCAGTATAAAGCTTAACTAGCATTCTTGGATCTTATCAATACCTACAGAAATAGTAAATAGGATAATTAGGTTTTCATTTGTCACTTTGCTAGTTTTTAAAAAATGAATGTAAACATCAGTACATCTGTTCAAGAGAAAGGTGAGGCTGGAACTAGGAAGAACTTTAGAATTGAAAAGGCAGCAACAAGCTCTGGAGAGAGAGGTCCTCTTCTATGAAAAGACATTGAATCCAGGTTTCTTAGAGAGCATCCTGATCACAATGGTGACTGCAGGCTTTCCCATAACACAAATGTTGTGTAACCTCTCACTACCTCCTTTGTTCCTAGCCACCGTTGTAATGGCATCTGATGAAGCTCTAAGAAAAACACCTTTTATATTGAGTGACTTAGCTCTTGCTAATTTCATCTAGTAGGATTTTAAGAATACCTGTATGGAGGAAGATGCCATTCCGTAGTTCTCTGGAAAAAGAAGATATTCAGGAATGTGAAAATTTTGCCATCGTTGTCTGGCAGACACATTTTCTTTGTCTGCAGGAAATGTTTTCAGTCCCAGCAGCCTCCCTTGTAGAGGGGTAGAGGTACTGCAAAGAAATATCTTACTGTCAGGAACAACAGCTATTGAGATATGAGAGGAGGAGTATCTGAGGTTCTTTCCCTTTTTTAGCAGATTTCTTAATTCATTGCAGTCATCTTCCCACTGAAGAGGAGTAGTAGAAGTCTCAGATATTTTACTATGGTCATTTATTCATCATCTAAAGAAATAAAAATCATCTTTAAATAGTTGCAGTAAAAATATTATTACAGAATTAGTCTAGCATGGTAGATCTCAGTAAAATTGTTTGAATATGCAAACAATAGGTTCTAGAACATGCAAGTTTCAATGTACAGATGAAAATGTTTTTCTAATAGAAAATGATTTTCATCATTATTATTTTTCATCATTTTGTATAATCTGAGTATTGATAAGGAGGGATCACTTTATAATGATGAAAATCATTTTCTACTAGAAAAACATTTTCATCTTTATAAAGTGATCCCTCCTTATCAATACTCAGATTATACAAAATAAGTATTTTAGTACAAAATGTTGTTAAACATTAATTCTGAAAGCATTACTACTGCTCAATATTTCAGTGTGGCTCAAATACTCAATTGCTTCATGTCTTTCAAGAAGACTTCATTTTGGGATACAAACCACAAAAGGAAGATGTGGAAGAGAAGGAAACAGAGATATTTTTCCAGCCATCACAAGGTATAGCATAAAAATAAGTACTACGAAGTAGGTACCAAAACTGTTCTTGAACAGTATTAAAATTTAGCAGGCATATGCTAGATTCAATTTAAGGAGAATCTGTTGAATTCAGTGAAATGTGTGAACTGATGCTGCTTATATAAATCATTGCCTACATGGTAACAGTATTAAGTAAAATTATTCTATTTGCTTAGAGTAAAATGTTTTAACTTGTATGACAAGGTCCATTTTTCAAAATGCTGTATCTTTTAAAATCCATACGAAGTAGAACAGAAGTCTGTTTCCTGAATTAATATGTAGTTACAAGTGATAAGATGAACATACCTATCTTCATAGTTAATCCTATAGAAAATAACTGGGAATTTAGTAGTAGATTTAAAAGAAAAAAAGTTAGAATGCAGGCTTGTAGGGAAAAGAGCTTTTATAATATAGCAGAGTAGTTCAAACTGACTGAGAAGGCAAATGCATTTAATTAATCAAAAATATTCAGGCTGGCTGCAAGTTAGTCTCTCCATTTCTTCTATAAATCTGAGCAAACAAAATACTGATTTAAATGTTGTTACTAGTATTGAGCATTTTATAATCAATTTCAAGGAGGAATTTTTTTTTTTTTTGTATCAGTGTTCTTTTATCAATTGTAAATTTCATGACAGTTCATCAATGTTTTTAAATTACAGGATATCGTCCACCGCCTTTTTCAGAGAAGTTCTACTTGGTAGTAATTGAAAAAGACAGCACTGGCTGTTCTGTTCTTCAGATGTGGCATCTTCATCTCAAATCTGTGCAAGCTTGTTTAGGCGAGTATTTTCTTATAGGTGAATGTTTTAAATATCATGACGTGTCATGAATTTGAAGCTTGTCATTTTAGAAGCAGTAGGAGTAAGATTCCATGCAAACACTGGTTGTGTTCTGTACTACTGACAATATAAAAATATGTTGAAATAATAAGTAACGTATCATTGAATTCTTTATTTTAAATTGCCAGTATTTCAGAATGTTATGGATGTCTTATAATGAGCATAAAATTATTTGCAATAAAACTAAAGCAGCCAACATATAAAATTATTTTCTGCATAACCAAAGCACAACTAAGAAAAACGTGTGATTGTAACATATTCATGCTTTGTTCTAACATATAAACAGGTTTTTTTTAACTGTTTTCAATGACTTTTTTTTTTCCAATATAGCAAAACCAACTGAAACTGCTTTATCAGAGAACAAGCTTAGCATACCTGAGCAGAAGACTGTAGATTCTTCTCCAGATTTATCACCTGGCGTGAGTCCCATTCCACGATCTTCATCAATTGCTAATCTTCAGACTGCTAGTAAACTCATTCTGAGCTCCAGACTTGTGTACAGCCAACCACTGGATCTTCCTGTTGGCGTAGAAGTAATAAGAGCAACTCCTTCAGCAGGTAAATTTAACATTTTTTTTCTATTTAATTGATCTACTGTTTACCACCAGGTTTATAGGATAGTAACCCTAACCCTATCACTCTCTTAATTGAATGATAAAGGAAATGTAGAACTAAAAAGACTCTCTCACCTCTATGTCCATATCTCTCGAATCCAAAATGTCTTGTTTCTCATCATCTCTTCTTTAAATGTATCAAGTCCCCCAAATCAAAGCTACTTGTAAAACTTATTGTTCAAATGCTTGGAGATTTAACTCCTAGACTTAGTTTATTAATGAACAATTCATATCCACTTTGTCCCCTGTCAGCATTGATCTGATGAGTATTTTTTGGGGTTTTTTTGTAAACTTTGTGTACTTACCTCCTTTATTTGTCTCTCTCTTCTTCTTTTCAAGATACTTTTAAGTACTATTGTGCTCCCCATAGGTTTCATTTCTGAATGCTACACAAGCCTAATCTTAATGTCCTTCAACTCATCTTATTAAAGCTTTGTATTCCCCTCATTATTCTAGCAATCATTTTCTTAATTAGTTGAGTTAAATTTTATCATCTTTAAGTAGTCCTGCAACTGGCAGATGACAAGTAATGCCCAGGCTACTAACACTGTCACTGATCTTAAAACATTTGTTTTTATCTAACTCCAAATTAGAAAAATAAAACCAGATCAAAAAGTGCTTTGTTAGTAGTGACAACATTGTGGCTATCTTTTATAGTCATATGACTTTTGTTACTATTAGCAATTATGTCTGTTCTAATTTCAGGTCACTTGAGCTCTTCCTCAATATACCCAGTCTGCCTTGCACCTTATTTGATAGTAACATCGTGTTCAGACAACAGAGTGCGTTTCTGGAGGTGTACTGTAGAGATAGATCTAAACAGCAAAAATGAAGAAAGGGAAACATATCATTGGAGAAAATGGCCTTTAATGAATGATGAAGGAGAAGATAACAGCAGTACTGTCACCATAGTAGGAAGGCCAGTTGCTGTTAGTTGTTCTTACACAGGACGTCTTGCAGTAGCTTACAAACAGCCTGTACAGCATAATGGTTATGTTTCAAAAGAATTTTCCATGCATGTTTGTATACTTGAGTGTGAGTCTACAGGAGGATCGGAATGGGTTTTGGAACAGACAATTCATCTAGATGACTTAGTTAAAGTTGGAAGTGTGCTTGATTCAAGGGTCAGTGTAGATAGCAATTTGTTTGTTTACAGTAAATCAGACACATGTCTGAATAAAGACAAATACCTAGTGCCCAATATCAAGCATTTGGTGCATTTGGATTGGGTATCAAAAGAAGACGGTTCACATATATTGACAGTTGGAGTTGGTGCCAATATTTTCATGTATGGGAGACTTTCAGGAATTGTAACAGATCAAGCAAGCAGCAAAGAAGGTGTAGCTGTTATTACTTTACCGCTAGGTGGTAGCATAAAACAAGGTATAAAGTCAAAGTGGGTTTTGCTTAGATCAATTGATTTGGTATCATCTGTAGATGGCACTCCTTCACTGCCTGTTTCTCTCTCCTGGGTGAGAGATGGTATACTGGTGGTGGGCATGGACTGTGAAATGCACGTTTACGCACAGTGGAAACACACTGTCAAGTTTGGTGATGGTGAAAGTGATGTTTTTACTTCTGAAGATTTGGCAACTCAAGATCCACTCAAAACAAGCTTGATATCAAAGAAGACTAGTATAATTGATGGGGCAGGTATTGTGGATGACGTTTTCGGCACTCCAACTGTAATTCAAGATGGAGGCCTTTTTGAAGCTGCTCATGTACTTTCACCTACTCTCCCTCAGTATCATCCAACTCAGCTATTGGAACTTATGGATCTGGGTAAAGTTCGCCGAGCCAAAGCCATTCTATCACATTTAGTTAAATGTATTGCAGGAGAAGTTGCAATAGTAAAAGACACAGAAGCTGGAGAAGGCAGTGGTCCTAAACGCCATCTTTCTCGCACCATTAGTGTAAGTGGCAGTACTGCAAAGGATACCATCACAGCTGGAAAAGATGGCACTCGAGACTACACAGAGATAGACTCTATTCCTCCACTGCCACTTTACGCGCTTCTTGCTGCAGATCAAGATGCAACTTATGTTTCTGAAGAAACTTCTAAAATACCCCAGGGCTCTGAAGAAGACGCTAAAAAAAAAACAGAGGACCAGTACTCAGATCTGTTTCAGATTCAGCCTGTTACAACTGATGACTTCATTGATTTTGAGCCTGAAAAGAGGGAGAGTAAATCTAAAGTTATTAATCTCTCACAGTATGGTCCAACTTACTTTGGCCGAGAACACGCCAGCGTCCTTTCAAGCCACCTGATGCACTCAAGTCTGCCAGGCCTCACTCGTCTAGAGCAGATGTTCCTTGTAGCTTTGGCAGACACTGTGGCCACAACAAGCACCGAACTAGATGAGAACAGAGATAAGAATTACTCAGGTTAGTAACTGGCATATTATTGAATTAACATTCATGGTCTTCCTAGCTAAGGGAATTTTAGTCTTTGAGTATTTGGGGATTACAAAGCTGAAATCTAGTATCAGTTATTCAGATTTGATACGGCAAAGAAAGGAATACTTAAATACAAATCTCTATATTTCATGCACAATACTTTGTCTCATAGAGCAAATTTAGAAAGATGCATTCATTAGATACTGCACACAGTAAGTTATATGCATTCCTTTAAATCATATACATGCCCTGTGTAGTCAGTGCCATATTCAAAAGTCAGTGTTTTATGTTTTACAGGAAGAGATACCTTGGATGAATGTGGCTTACGATATTTGTTGGCTATGCGCTTGCACACCTGCCTTCTGACATCACTCCCACCACTATATCGAGTTCAGCTACTTCACCAAGGTAAGTTTTAGAATGTGGTATTACTTTCATTTGATCCAGCTGAGCTGACAGGATAACAGCTATTCTTTGAAGCCCCTTTATTTGCGAAGTGCATGTTCCCCTGCATGCACTGCACGTAGAGAAAATACAGAGCTCTAGAACAGAAGCCAGATTCTGTGCCATTCCATTTGAGCACGAACAATTTCTCCAAACAGATGATGTACTGATTGATTATATGTTGCTTTGTTTATGTTGGAGGAATGAAAGTATTGCTTTATGGAAGCATGGTTTTTATCTCCCCTATAAGATAATTTTATCATTTTCATCACAGGTGGTTTTTTTTCTTTGCTCAATCTGAGTAAGTGAAATACACAACAGGAAAGAAAAGCAGTTACCACCTCAACAGTGTACAGAAAGTTTTCTGGCCCAGAATGAGTCTGCCTCTGAGATAATGTTTTCCTGCTGTTTTACACCATATAAAACTGTAGTATGTATATGATTGGGGTGCTGGAAAAGAATAGAAGCATTGAAGAGAGGACATATACTGGGAGATGTTTTGACTTCACCTTGAACAGCTCTACTTCCTGTCAACAAACATCCCTCTCTACCAACACTCTTTGCAGAGGTTCCATTTTGCATCTCTGATGTATTCCATTTGTTTATTAATGACTATTAATCTTCTGAATCTTATTATCTTACTGTTTAGGCCTATCTACTTGTCATTTTGCATGGGCTTTTCATTCTGAGGCTGAGGAGGAGCTGATCAACATGATCCCTGCTATCCAGAAGGGAGACCCACAGTGGTCTGAATTAAGAGCTATGGGTATAGGTTGGTGGGTCAGGAATATCAACACTCTCCGAAGATGCATTGAAAAGGTAATCTAATTGCTTATAAATTATAATTATATGCTGTTAGATATGCCTTAACAAAAAAGGTAACTTGTGCAGACTCTCTTGTACTCCAGACCAGCTGGAAGGCTAACTGCTTTTTTTTTTACATAGCCCGCTTCCAAATAGCAGTACTGTCAGACCATGTTGGCAGTTCTGGCTTATAAATCAGCAGTATCATGCGATATGTTTGAGCTAGGAAAAAGCCATTTTTGAAGCATTTAATCTTTTCCCCTATATTTTATAGTATGTTTAACATGGCATTACTCTATTTTGTGGAGTCATTTCTTTTTAGATATATGGCAGCACATATCAGTAGATTAAACAAGGAATTGTATTTTGAGTTCAGATGTGGGTCTTATTTAAGAAATAACTATTTCTAACACAAAGTAGTGTCAGATCTCATTTTCATGCCGTTTTTATGGGAGCTCTAATAGTAGATAACATGCAGTATGTGCTTCAATATTATTTTATAATGTTTCCCGTAGGTACCAATGAGATTTAAATTCTTACTTTAATAAAAATTTCAGCTTTCTTACCAAGTTTGATGGATTTGATTTATTACTACTCCTTGCTTTGAATTACAACAAATAATGTAGCCTTTCAGATGTTTGTGCAACAGAAATATCCGATAGTTTACTGAATTTCTAAGTCATGTGTTGTGAAACTAAATTAGTCGTCCAAATCTGATGCGATTCCATCTCTTGAGTCCTACACAGAAAAACGCCCAGAATGGTCACTAAGGAAATATTTGTATTAGCTTGCAAATTTGGAAATAATTGGTCACAAGAAGAACTTCACCCAATACTATGAGCTACTGTAACTTTTGAGAAAAATATTTTTATTTGCACAGCTGTAACATCCTGCTGAGGAGGGGCATCAATATGTGCAGTAGTGCTGTTTTTTCTGAACCACAGGAACATTAACAGTGTAATGAGCTGTTGTCCCCTGTCAATAAATTAATTCCTGCAAGTCATTCAGAAAAAAATTACTGTTGCTTTCTATAAATAATGCAGTCACCCAGAGCATCCTCCCAGCAGAGAACATATGTTCTTAAGCTAAAAGCAAGCTTTCTATTTTCACTAGTAATAGTAGGTTTTGCTTACTACAGGTTGCAAAAGCTTCATTCCAGAGGAACAATGATGCCTTAGATGCTGCACTTTTTTACCTTGCTATGAAGAAAAAGGCAGTGGTGTGGGGTCTATTTAGGTGAGTTCTGACTATAAGTTTGATTAAATTATATTTGAAGCAGGAATGCAAAACAGAACTCATTCAGGATTAGAGTTTAATTGGTGCTGTTCAAGTGACTGTATCCTAAGTCTATGTAATAAAAACTTGTGTACCTTGCATTTCTTTATGCAGGTCTCAGCATGATGAAAAGATGACTGCTTTCTTCAGCCACAACTTCAGTGAAGACAGATGGCGAAAAGCTGCTTTAAAAAATGCTTTTGCTCTGTTGGGAAAACAGCGCTTTGAACAATCAGCTGCATTCTTCTTGCTAGCAGGTTCACTGAAAGATGCTATAGAGGTATTAATTTTTGAGAAATTAAATTTTAGTTTCTAGTCTAAACTACGGAACTACATCCTTAAAAGCTAATCAGCTGATCTTTTTGTAAAGTGTGGAAGCAGAAAGGGTATGTCTACACATGGAAGCCTGTAGACATGGCATTTACCTCCACACTACTGTGAAAAAAAAACTTGGAATCTGATCTGAAGACCAGAATGAATGTTCAGATACGAGTCCTCGGTGGAAGGACTCTTGAGAAAGCAATCATGACCCTGCTGGTGAAGCTTTGTTTTGCTTGTTGTAGCACTCTGTTCAGCTTCTAGCTACTCTGCATTCCCTACTGTTAGAACATCAAGTAAAACACAAAGAATCAAAACAAACAAACAAAGATCTTCTGAAGGATCCATTTTTAGTGGAGTTGTGGTGTGGAACTGCCGAAAGGAAGGTGAAAGTTCTCAGCAAGGTCATAATTTTAGCAGCATATCTTAGGAGAGAAGGGAATTAGATAACTTTTACTTATCTTGCCTGTTTTATGCAGTGTGTCTTTACCTGAGAATGTAAAGGCTCAAAAACATTATTCTGCAGATGAGTCAGTGGATGAAAATCTTACCAGTTATGTACAAACATTAAAGTTGGAAGCTAGGTTTATTCCACTAGCTAAAACATCCTTATATTGCTATCTGATATATTGTTTTTTGACATGATGTACTGAGGCATACTATAATCGCTACAATAGAAGTACACCTCTTTCCAAACATGGAAGAAAATATGGCACTTATAAATATCTCAACATACTTTTGATTCAAAGATTAACATATACTTTAAAGATCAGATATCATGAGGAAAAAAATGTATTGTATAAAAAATTATTGTGTAAACATGTTGCTGTTCACTGTCATTTAAAAAAAAAAAAAAAAACATTCTCTCAAAAGAGACCTTTTCCCCCACTTATTATCACAGGTGTGCCTGGAGAAAATGGAAGACATCCAATTGGCTATGGTTATTGCTCGCTTATACGAATCAGAGTTTGAAACCTCTGTCACATACACCTCCATTCTTTATGAAAAGATTTTGGGTTGCCATAAGGATGGTACTGGGTTCAGCTGTACTAAATTGCATTCTGATCCCTTTCTGAGAAGTATTGCTTACTGGATAATGAAAGATTACACTAGAGCACTGGACACTTTGTTGGAGCAAACACCTAAAGATGATGATGAAAACCCAGGTAAGGAAAAAAAAATTGTCTGCTGGATCAAACTCTCTATGACATAGTAGAGAAGGGGTAAAGTTTTCTGTTTATGTATGCAGTCCCTTCTCTTGAGATGCTATGATGCTGAAATTATTAACAGGCTTATGTACTAGCCCACTCAATTTCTTATGGTAAAAATATTTTTTTCCAGTTTCTTCCACAGGCTTCTCTCCAGCGTCCAGTACTGAGCTTAGTTCTAATAAGCTCAGATAAAGTCTAATAAGTCAGATAAACTCTGGAGGGCCTAACTTTTTCTTACTTTTTCCTACAATACCTCTCTTCTTCTTAATGGTGGCTAATTTTTATTCTAATCAACTTCAGACTCGCATTCTTGCTTCTAGGAATTAGCAGTTCTCAAAAGCAGGGCTTCCTATGCAATCTCTTGCTAGATTAACGTTAAATGATGGAGAATTGGATGCACTGGTTTCTGTAGTATGTTCCCTGCATGAGTTAAATCTACCTGGCTGGTCTTCTCAGCTTATTTTAGGCTTAGCTGGTGAAACAGTAACAAAGCAGATGTGAGAGCTTCATGTTTCCACTCATCTGGCTTACATCTTTAATGTTTTTGTGGGGAATAAGTAATTCTTTTGCTTTGTTTTGGCAACTAGACTGTCTTTGTTTTTGCATTTTGAATCTTTGTAATGCAGGAAATGCTGCAAATCGGAGTAACACGTGAAATCCATTGTCAATAAACGTCTCATCTGTTTAATTCCCTAGTTATTGTCAAGTCATGCAATCCTGTGGTATTCAGTTTTTACAATTATCTTCGGACCCATCCTTTGCTGATCCGAAGATACTTCAGCTCACCAGAAGGGACTTTGGCCACCTTAGGTCTAAAAACTGAGAAAAGTTTTGTTGATAAAATTAATCTTATAGAAAGAAAATTATTCTTCACTACTGCAAATGCTCACTTTAAAGTGGGTTGTCCTGTGCTAGCTCTTGAAGTTCTTTCCAAAATCCCAAAAGTAAGAAAAAAATCTGCTGTAGCTACAGAGAAAGATGCATCTAGTCCTCCAATGCAGGCTGGTGTTTCAGATTCCAAAGCCTTAAGGGATGGTGCTGGAAGCGGTGATATAGACTGGTCAAAGCCAATTTCAGCTTCCTTTGCTTTGGAGGATACTGCTGAGTCTTCAACACAATTTGATTGGAGTCAACCAGCAGTAAAATTTGATGATGAGCCTCTTACTCTTGATTGGGGTGAAGACAAAAATGAATCAGATGAAGAAGACAAGGATGTTGGTATAATTATGAAAAATTCGAAATCTGCTTCCAAGAGTGAAGAACAAGATGAAACCCCAGACAGTAACGTCCCACAGACACTACATGGAGAGATTTCTGATGTTGGAGACACTGAGGTTGATGTTATTGCTGAACAACTGAAGTTCAGAGCCTGTTTGAAGATCCTAATGACTGAACTGAGGACTTTGGCTACAGGTTATGAAGTAGATGGAGGAAAGCTCAGGTTTCAGCTGTACAACTGGCTTGAAAAAGAGATTGCTGCCATGCATGAAATATGCAACCATGAAGCAGGTGGCAAAGACTACTGTAAAACATACACCAAAGTAAATGGGGATCTACTTGATCATGAGAATGTTATGGATAAGCCAGACATTGGTTCCTATGAACGGCACCAGATAGAAAGGCGTAGGTTACAGGCAAAACGAGAACACGCTGAAAGACGAAAGTGGTGGCTGCAGAAGAACCAAGCTCTTCTACGAGTATTTCTGAGTTATTGTAGTCTCCATGGGGCACAAGGAGGTGGTTTAGCATCTGTGAGAATGGAGCTGAAATTTTTGCTGCAAGAGTCACAGCAGGTAAAACAAATTCAGCTGATTTGTATTTACGAGTCTGAACAGTTCTAGTCTGTCAATTTTATCAAATGCTTAAATTTGTACCTTAAGCTAAACAATTCTGATGTTCTTGAGGCAAGAACTTACTATTCTAGCTTGCTGTGCATCCGCATCCTGGCTATTTGGTTCTTCAGAATCTGCCGGAGGATTAGGCTACCTGTAATTATATAAATATTGCTCTATGTACTACAGACTTAAATGTATATTGAAATTATAGTTTCGATCACTATATTTTGGGTATCCATATAACAAGTTAAATTCAGATTAAGTATGATAAAATCTCTTTCCCTACATCACTGCACGTCATGCAAGGAGCTGTAAAGAATAGAGTCTTAGTCAGCGTACTGCTCCCTTTTCTGTATTATGGCATTTTCTACAGTAAATGTAAGTGACTGATCAGAGCAAATCCTCTGACTTGGAATAAATCACGGAAGTAGCTCCAGTCCCAGAACTTACTTTTAACATCCATCCTTGTGAAATCTTGTCTGTACTGAGTAGACAGCAGTAGAAGAGAATAAATAATCCTGGGAAAAAAAAAAAGAAAAAAAAAGTAAATTACTGTTTTATTATTATTTTTTTCTCAAAGTAATCATCTTAAGTGCAATCTTTTCTTTTAAACAGGAAACTACTGTAAAACAGCTTCAGTCTCCACTTCCATTGCCCACAACACTACCATTGCTATCTGCAAGCATAGCATCCACAAAAACTGTGATAGCTAATCCTGTGCTGTATTTAAACAACCACATCCATGATATTCTTTACACAATTGTGCAGATGAAATCACCACCACATCCTAATGTTGAAGATGTCAAGGTAATGAAATCAGGTTGTAAGAAATGCTGACTGTTTACGAAATGGTGAGAATACACTAAAATTGTGTTTGATTTTCAACAATATTGAAATATTGTTATTCTTTATTGTTATTTATTGTTTTCTATTATTATTTTATTTTTATCTTATCTATTATTTATCTTTATTATTATTTATTTTATTATTTATTTATAATTATTTATTATTATTTATTGTTATTCTATTATTATTCTTTTAGAAAGAAGGTCACAATATTGACCTTCTTTCTAAAATCTAGAGAATTGAAAATGGTAGTCAACCAACCACTTGATTTCAGACACCTTTTGGAATCTCCTTAGTTCCCTTTCATCCAAATAATTCAGTCATTCTTGAGAAGCTGTTCTAAATTTAGATGTTCACTAAAGCACTGAATTGTTACTCTTACATCACGATCATATATGTTAACTATCATCATCTTGGTCAAATCTGGTGGGAAGATTAATGAAAGTAGAGGTGGAAGCTATGAGGTACATTGTAACCTTCTGTTTATACCGTAGTTATAAATCTTAGTCCAGCGTGGATTGTACTGATTTCCATGTAATTGTGATTAATTACTTTATCTGGCCCCATATCCTAGAGTAAATAAATTCTGTTCATAAAATAGAGGGGATTGGGGAAACATATTTCCTGAGACTATACAACAGTTAATTAGTAAAAATCTAGATCATTGGTTTGTACATTTTTATCAGTATTCACATTCATTAAATTTCACTTAAATTTCTATTGAGTAAATGAAAGTAGGTGAAAGCTATGAAACTAAGTGGACCGTCCCATTGGTAGTTAGTTACCAATTTGTAAACTGCAACCCACGCTCATTTACTTCTTTACATTAGTTGGCTCCTTTTCCATCCTGCACTATGCCACATTAAGTATCATTCTTATTCTAAAAACTCTTATTCCACACGCATTTTCCTTTAAAAGGAAAGTCAGAAAGAACTGACACTTCCTAACTGTAAATCAACTATTTAGATAACTTGTATCTTTAACCTGAGGTATGGCATCTCATTAAATAGAGAGACAGGAGGAGATGGAAATGAGCAGAATGTTAAAAAGCATTCATGTTTTTTAACTGTTGGCAGTACCATTTTCAACACAGTTTGGCCTCCATCAGTCTTTCCAAGAAATCCTTGCATTTCTTCTTCTAGGAAATGGAGTGTTTCTGCTGCATTGTAAGCTCATAATAGTAATATTCTTGTTACTGGGAGAGTCCTGAAAAATTTTAAGCACGTAAATGAGGTGAAAAAGCTATTATAAATAATTAAATGATGATTACACAAACTTCTGTATCATGCATATAAAGCAAATACTACTATAATGAGTTATGATGTTATATTATATTGTTTCCAGGAACCAATCAGACTATAGAAATCACTGTTAGAACAGGACTTAATCACTTCTTCAGTATACTCACCCTGTGAGAGGTCTGTATTAGAGTAATTTTTTAATTACTATTTCCTGACTGTAGTTTAAAACTGGGACATTCTGGCATAACACATTTCAAAAACTGTTTAGAAAGAAGTGTGGTTTACATACCTTTTGTGTATAAATTACATATAACTTAGCAGCTCTTTTCATTTTAGGTGTACACTCTTCATTCTTTAGCAGCTTCCCTTTCTGCATCCATTTATCAAGCACTGTGTGACAGCCACAGCTACAGGTACAAATAGAATTTCTTTCTTACAGTCCTACATTTGAAGATTATTTAGTGCATCCAAAATGGAAATTCTTTCTGCCTGTGTCTAAGCAAAGAGATTCAACTGCTATGTATGTATAGATAACTATGCAACCCAAACATTAGTTCTGATAGTCCCTGCCAGTTTCACACAGATAAAATAATAACAATCTTTTTCTTCCAATGAAAGGAGGAAAATCTGCTATCAATCTTAGGATGCTTCTAAAAGAACGTCTGAGTGCTGTTTTCCACAGTATATCCATTGCTGGGTGGGACTGCATGGAAAATATTTGAGGTTAAATGAAGTCAGGGTTTGGACAGTTCTTGTTTCAAACCAAAATTGGCTGTAAAAATATAACAAGTTTTAATTTAAAAAGTATATACTATGGTACAAAATTGTAGTCCTGTAGAATTTTAAACATTGCATTTTCTGATTAAAAAGAGAAGCGTTTCTATATACTGTATTTATTGCAAAAATGTTCTGAAATCCTTTCTCATCAGAAAAAAATTTATTTGTATTTAGCAGCCAAACAGAAGCAAATCAGTTTACAGGGATGGTTTACCAAGGACTGCTTTTGAGTGATCGTCGCAGACTGAGGACAGAGAGTATTGAAGAGCATGCAACTCCAAACTCATCTCCTGCTCAGTGGCCTGGTGAGACAAAAATAAATTACTTTTAACATGTCTGGAAAAGCTCCACTTCAAATTTTTTTTCACTGCTCTGTAACTTCATAACTTACAGTACAACTTGATGGCAATTTTTCATGCGAACATAGAGAAATGATGGGTGAACAATGATGGATAAGTGTTTTAAATTTAGCTTTCACATGTAACAGCCGTTAGCTTCCTCGCAGATCAAAACAAAAATCTAAACTTTTTATATGGCAAATGTCTTACTTGAGGAAGAGATCAGAATCTTCAGGATAAATTCTATAAGCTGATTATTTGTCATCCTAAGATGTTTTTCTCAGGTCTGCGTCACCCTCGAGCAGAGCAGTTTCTTTCTGTTAGCTGCAGCTACAGTACTGTCTTACATACTTGCTTTTCCTGCCGTAGCCATCAAAACAACTGCTTTTCACATACTAGCAGAGAGGTAATATTGTGAGGTCAACTCTGGCCAACAGTGCAGGAGTTTCAGAGGCAAAGCAATCTGAGGCACAATTCAGAAATCTTTTTGTTCAGTCTAAGAAAAAATCATAATTGTTGATATATCAGAACAAAAGTTTCAAATGGCTATTAGTATGTGTGCACCAAAAGAGACAGAGATGCAACACCGAATTCTTCCCTGTTTGTAATTAACGAAGAGCTTTTCGTCTTCTCTCTGCAGGTGTGAGTTCACTGATAAATCTCTTAAGTTCAGCTCAGGATGAAGATCAACCAAAGTTAAACGTCCTTCTTTGCGAAGCTGTTGTAGCTGTTTACCTGAGTCTGCTGATCCATGCCCTGGCAACCAACTCATGTAACGAGTTGTTCCGACTGGCAGCTCATCCTCTGAACAGCCGGATGTGGGCTGCTGTTTTTGGCGGAGGAGTGAAACTTCTTGTAAAGCCTCGAAGGCAATCAGAAAATATTCCAGGTATTTTGTTTTCTAAAGGTCGTGCTAACGATCTGCATTTTAGACCTTTTAGTAACCCAGTAGGGGAGATTTCTTTTCTTTAAAGATTAGAAAAAAACAAGGAAACACAATTTAAGTATCAACTGGCAAGAAAATTGTAACATTAATTAAAAAGCAGAAAGAAATGTCACTTTTTTTTATTATGACTGTCCTTTATGATAACACCTAGCATGATTTGAATTTTCCATTGAAACAGTACAGGTATTTTTACTCAAAATGTAGCCCTTTAATCTGACAATTACAGCTTAACTGCTCTTTTTGATAGCTGCATTTATGTTAATTCGGGACTTGAAGACTTCTGTCTGAGTAATTGTTAGATTAAAGAATACAGATTTCATCTTCTTTGTGACAAGACTGTTGTTTCCCCCCCAAAAAATAAAACAGGAACAAGAATGTTGTTGAGGTAGAGGATTTTTTGTTTGTTTTGTTTTGTTTTCTTTAGTATCCACTTAGAATACAGATAGAATGACCTCTGCATTTAATTATTGTTACACTCAAAATAGTTTACTTGGAGTGTATGTGTTTGTGTATCTTCCCAATTGCAAGCCTTTTTCTTTCCATCTTTGTAAAACAATAACGAAAAATTTGTCAGTCAGAGGTAAAACAAAGTGCTTTAAACAGCAAGATATCAAGCGTAATATCATTAACAAATAGCCATCACATTGACTACGTGTCAAGTAGTGATGGAATCAGTGCTGTGATGCAGAACTTATACCCCAGAAGCATGATAAGCAACTTGCATGTGGAATGCCATGGGTATTTCCCAGCATAAACATTTCAGAATTACTAGTATACACCATTACTTTTCCTAATACACATCCCAACAGTACTTAGAATGGTACTGCCAGTGCTCTGGTCACTCAAACTCACGTTTGGTATCAAGCTAGGCAAATAAAATAAGTTTATAATAACACGATTTTAATTCAGACATTCTGAGTCAGAAATCATCCTCAGGATAGCATATTTCCTTATGTTACTCCTATTAGATGCTTGTTTATAACACTTTCCATTGTTTTCAACCATTATTTTTTGTGTGAAAAAGCAGATAGAACAAATCAGTGTTAATACCTACGTTCTCCTGTATGTGACGGGTGGTGCTGTGTAACAATTACAGTAATTTGGAAACAGTATTTCTGAAACTGTTTCTACTGCAAGATACAATTTCACCATGTGCAAGAAGTAACAGCTTCATCCGACAGAAAAATAGTTCATACACAGCTAAGCTCCAACTAAAAGCAGGGATCTTTCAGACAGATGAGAATGTCTTAATATGCTGAGAAGTGAAGGCTGAATCCAGGCTCAGTAGATAGGTGTAAATGAAACCGTTTGCCCAATAATTTCACTGTAACCATTCTGAAAATTCTGACACTTTGGCTTTAAAAACTACAGGTTTGAAAATTCTTATGCAGAAAATTGATATTTCATATTTAAAGTACAAAGCAAAACAGTACTGAGGTGGTATAATGTAAACACTGCTTCTAATCTTCTAGTCACAATCACTGCTGTCATTGCTGACGTTATCATAGTGTCACCACTGGTCAGTTAACATTCTGAAACAGACCATCACAGGAATGCATTACGTATTTCTCTTTTATGGAGTAACTTAAGGACATGTGAGAATAATCATTTTAGGAGTGATCAATGATTTAACAGGGTATTATTATGAACAGCTTACCTATATAAGCCTTGTTTTCATTGGAGATATATTCTGTTTTCCTTATCCTACAAGCTGCTACAGTTTCTGATGTTTCAGAGGATGGTAATGAAGGTGTGTAAAAGTTTGCTGTGTAGATGAATGGTAGTAGTGGCTTCTAAAAAAAACAAACTGATTTTAAGTATTTAGGTCCTGTGTAACAAAGTAAGTGTAATCTTCAGCGCTGCCTGCCAATAACACCTTGGAGAACAAATTTCACAGTTATATTTTGATAACTATTAAGATCCTTTGAATCTTAATAGATTTGTCAAAAAGACTTGCCCTATTCAAATTTTCTTTACTATCTTACTATCTTCTCTACTATCTGGCTTGTATTTTGAACAACTGCTGCTACTTGTGCTATTTACAGATCAGTGAAATTTTCTATACCTACTTCTTCACAAGTTAACAATTTTTTTCTTAATTTGAGAAAAAAATATCTAAAATGCCCTTTAATTCAAAGCCATGTCTCCTGGAAAACTCAATCCAGATAACAAAATGAATTTCTCATTATATACACAACGTGTAACTGCCACAGCTACTGAATTTAACTGAACCTTCTGTGTGATTACACTTCACTTATAGAGGCTGGCTTTGATCCCTGAGTTGGTAGAAGTTAGTACCGGTAATAGTGCTTTTAGCTACTTCAGTTATAAAATACAGCACTTTGGAAGATGCTGTGTTAATATCAGCTTCTCAAATTATCTGAATTTAGCACCACCTCTTCCTTCAGAAGAAATGGACAAACATCGTCGCCGTTTCAACATGAGAATGCTAGTGCCTGGAAGGCCTGTGAAAGACACCACTGTGCCACCGCCGGTACCTGCAGACAGACCCTCTTACAAAGAAAAGTTCATCCCTCCAGAACTCAGCATGTGGGACTACTTTATGGCAAAGGTAATTTAGAATGGAAAATACGTCGGAGTTTGTAAAAAGCTTATTTCTTCTCATTTAAGCTGTAAAGGGCAAAAATAGCGTGGAAATTCTGAGTGCTCTTCAAACTGAGCTGCAGAATATTATCATCTCAATGAAAGGTAAAGAGCTCTATGACTTGTCTTAGGGCTATTTCCTAACTATAAAAATATGGTTCTTGCAAATAATACAGATTAATACTTTTCTCCTTGATACTTGTTTCTTTTAGAGAACCTTATTTATGTTAAGTAGTTATCATAGACAAAAAGTATAAATTACAAGTAAAGTTAAAGGTATGTGCATTAAGAGATCAGAAAACTATTTTTATAGCAGACTTTTATTTTGCATTGCAGCCATTTCTTCCTCTGTCAGACAGTGGTGTTATATATGATTCTGATGAAAGCATTCACAGTGATGAGGAAGAGGATGATGCTTTTCTCTCTGACATACAGATCCAGGAACACAAAGATGCAAATTCTTACAGGTTAGAAGAAATTGCCATTCTTTTAGAATTACAGTATCATGCTTACCTTTTCTTCAGGTTTAAAGAAAATACAGGTGCTCTGAACAGTCCACAGTTTAGGTTGCGTATTTGTAGTTCAGTGGACGGGGGCATCTGTAGCAGTGAGATTACAGGCACAACAAATTTTGTTTGCAGTAACAAACATTTCCCTGTTTACTTGCCTGGAAAAAAAATGGGATTAGGAAGTCAGAGCTGTCTGGCTTTTGTGGGTGGGTGGAGGAACAAACAAGAAGTGCTCTACTATCACCTTCAAGACACAAAAACCATGACCTACCACAGTGCCAGCTCTAGAATGATGTTTCAGAGAACTCAGTGAAGTATGATCCTTAGGTTTCTGAATGAGATGCAAATTAAATGGACTGCTTACAGAGAAAATGTTGCAAGAAAAAAAGGGAATTAAGCAAATTAACTTAGCATTATAAAAGTAGAGGAAAAAAATGATGGGTTTTTTTGTGTGTTCCACCTTTCGTCTCTCTCTTAATCCTTATACTCTACAATATTTATATTTTCACTATCTATGAGAGTCAGCTGGGAAACTTCTGGTGTGAATACCACACTCAAGTTTTCTGTGATCACTATGATTTCATTGTAGAGCTTGTGAATGTGTTTCAGGGAGCTTGGACTTAATTTGCAATCTTGCAGAGTTTCACTCTTGCACCTGATGCATATTTTTAGAGGAAGAGTTCGAAGGATACTTGCTGTTACAGGGGGAAGCCCTCAGAGATGGCCTTAATTCTGATAGTTGATGTGTACATATCTTGCCATATGTGTCTGTTAAACTTTAAAAATTCAGTGACCTCCCTGAGTTGTTTTTCTGATCTGCGTAGTTGGTAGAAGGGGAGAAAACTGTTTTGCCAATAACTACATTACTGTTGCTTTAACACAACTATAACTATTATTTTTATATAGCTGGGCTCTTCTGCATCTGACAATGGTAAAATTAGTTCTGCACAACGTTAAGAACTTCTTTCCCATTGCTGGTCTGGAATTTAATGGTAAGTTAAATTCTACTTCACGTTTTAGTTCTCTGTGTAAGTGGCTTTCTGTCAGACTTTGCTTTTAAATATATTGTTTAATTTTTATTTTACATAACTTAAGCATTCTTAAACAGTTGTTAAGAAATATGTTTCTGCTAAACTTTTTGTTGAACGGTTGTATTGCTCTACTTTTTTGTACACACCGTAACTTATATGACCTTTTTTCTCTAAGCCTTTATTAATATTTCTGTTTAGATCTGCCTGTAACATCACCATTAGGCATTGCTGTAATAAAAAATCTGGAACATTGGGAACAGATTCTTCAAGATAGAATGGACCAGTTTGAAGGCCCACCACCAAACTACATCAATACCTATCCTAGTGACCCTGGAGTAGGTGCAGGACCAGCTATTCTCCGCAATAAAGCAATGATTGAACCTGAAAACACACCATTCAAGTAAGTTTTTTTTTCCTATTCCTTAACCACAGAAATACTGAAGAGTATTTCTGTCTAAACGTAAACAGCCAAAAGAAGTTTAGCTAAACTTTAGTTATAGCCAGTGCTTTACAGAATCCATTTTCCTCACATCCATTTATTACTTCTTTTGTTGCTGTTTCTTGCAGCTGCCTTTACTTATTTTGCTGCACTTTTCACAGCTGTAGAAAGAAAAGTAAGGTGGAAAGAGCAAAGTTTGGAGACTACAGATCAAGGGCAATGGCTCCTGCTAGAAGGTCCCTTTTCACCCACCTTTTCTGTTCTTTCAGTAGCAGCTATTTCCCACCCTGTCCTCACAAACAGAGGAAAGCTTGTATCATACATGAAGACATCAGGAGGGAGAAAGAGTTGTAGTAACAGTCCTTATAAAGTCAATCCTCCTGTGTTAGGCATATGTCATGTTTGCAAGTATCTTTAAATGCAGTCCTTGAAGAATTTTATTCATCTCAAAAGTAGTTTACTTTTCTAGAAATACTAAAATACAACTTCAATCACTTAAGCTATATGGTAATTTGAATTTTCATCATTGGCACTATAAGATTTTATTAAGATATTCTTACAAATACAAGAAAAAGAATGTATCTCTTGAAATTTGCCTTGAAGATCTTAGAACATTAGACTTAGATGGTTTTCTTCCAAATTGAAATTTAACCTAAAGTAGATGTGAGGAGGGACAGGAGTAATCTACCTGTAATTAAACAGAAGCTGTTTCCTTTTTATTTCTCCTTCTGCATCACCCAGATCAAAGGATTATTCAGCTCTTCCAGCAAAAAGGCTCTGGCATTTTCTCGTGAAGCAAGAACTTCTTCAGGAGACTTTCATAAGATACATATTCACAAAGAAAAGAAAGCAAAGTGAGGTAAGCAAAAAATTACCTTTTCTTTGTTGTTTTTTAAGAAATCTCAATTATAACCATACCTCAGTCTCTTCAGTATGTATTTTAATTTTGCTTTGAAATGCCTTTCTGGTGGCATTTCAGTCTATTTCCTTTCATTTGGCAGTGCTGTGTTTTCAGTGTTTTTTTTTTTTTCAAATCAACGTGACAATCATGCTGCTTATTGAAATATCAACTGGAGCAAATATTTTAGACGAGACATATTTCATCTTAGCTTTGTGTATTTGAGAAGTGTTCTAATAAATAATTAGAACATTTGCAATAAATGCAGTAAGTAAATAAACTTGTTTTCATGTATTTCTTGTTGTCATATTGAAAAAGAAATTCAAGTGAGCTATTACTTTGTGTATATGTATATATGCATGAGTAATATATACATATAAAAATAATATTATATAGTAATATATAATATGGGATTTTATGAATTGTACCAGTTACAACTGTAATGAGTTGTAATTGTAGTTTTTAACCAAAATAAATACCATAGGAAATAAATACATTATTTAATACCTTTAAGATTTCCTGTAAGTATGGAGTTTGTGTGTGTATTACTCCTCCATTTATTTACTATATCATACATTTTGTGTTCATCTGGGAGGCATTACATTTTGAGTGAGTTTGTTTAGATTCCTGTCGTAGTTCCTGTGCCTTTTATAAGAAGTTAAAAATACATTTGTCATCATTTACTGACAGAGTGGCCTTTAAAATCTAGTTTGGAATGTTTCATTCTTTTTTTATATTTGTTTGTGCATGTGTTTTGTGTTTGTGACTGTGTGATGTTATGTAGTCTGTAGAAGATCGTGTGGAGCAGGTCAAACAAAACTGCGTAGCAGAAGATCACAAAAACAAGGTAGTATCCCTTCTCCCAAACCTCTGGCACATTCTTAAAAGTTCTGTGGAACTGGCTTTTCTTTCTCTAATGTGACTAACAGAAGCTATGTGTTCTGTGTAGTCTGTGTGGCAGGCTTTTAATCGGTGAATTAACTTTGGATGTCCTTTAATTGGGATGAGTGAGCACTTTGTAAATAGTGTTGTACACACAACTTTGTGTTTCTTACACTCAAACACGTCTGGCTCCTAGAACACAAAACAGTCTGAGAAGTCTAAAGTTTAGCTTCCTAAAAAATGCTGAGGCCACTGAACTTTTCTTGCATGAATTTTGTATAGACTTTTGCACTCTGAATGTACAACTACAAAATGGATTTTCAGGCTAATTAGAGTTTCTCATAAATGTTTTGTAGGTTGAAGCAGATCTTGGCTACCCTGGAGGAAAAGCAAAAGTAATTCACAAAGAATCAGATATGATAATGGCATTTGCAATTAATAAGGTAGGCCTCAAATTTTACTAGTAAATGTAGTAGAATAATCTAAACTGAAATTAGTTTAAATTTTCTATTTGTGCTGCACAGGCAAACAGCAATGAAATTGTTTTGGCATCTACACATGATGTTCAAGAACTTGATATTTCAGCTCTACTGGCTGCTCAGTCATTTATATGGATTGGAGAAGAATATGACAGGGAGTCAAAAAGGTAGGATTATTTCTCCATGGATATAGTGGGCAGATAGGTTTACTGTGAGGCTGTATGTGGAATTCCAGTGCACAAAATGTTAATTGCATAATCTTTGGTAGGTTTTAGAACACTTTCAAAAGGAGTAGTGGTGGAAGAAAGCAAAGGAACATTAGTATGTTTTACAAGTGGTAAAACTAAGTTTTTGAGGGATTTGAGTATTTGGGGCACGTCTACATTGCTCAATGAAATACAGTCTCATGGTGTATAAGCTAATAAAAGAAGCTGTATATCAGAAACACGTGTAGTTGCAAAACTGCTTTGTTGAGCCTACTTCTGGTACCTGATGCTAGCTGTCCAGCGCAGTGGCCTGATCTCCTCCGTTATGCTGAGAGCAAGCACTTCCCTGCACTACATTCCATTGCACAGAGCAGGCAGTTAAAGATGCACAGGCCAGGAACACTAGATGCTGTAATATCTTTCTGTCCATATTTTTAACAGCATATTCTCCTCAAGGGAGCTCATATTCTCAACAACTTAGAATCACATGTTGAGGTTAAACACTGATGTCTGTGTGGCATAGGGGAGTTTTTGTGTATAATACAAGTGAAGAAGTTATACATTTATAGTCTTCACTGTATTCACTTTCTCTGTCCACTGCCACTGGGCTCTTAACAGCAACGAGATAAGTGAACAGCATTGGTGGCAAAGAAACATTTGTTTAAAGCAGAACACTGCTGTTTTCTTACAGTTCTGATGATATTGACTTTCGTGGTTCTACCACAACACTAACTCAGTCAACTGCACCATCTTTTGGAGTGACTCAGATACAACCATCTTCATCTATGCCATGGCTGGGCACTGGTCAAACTAGCACTGGAGCTGGTGTGGTAAGTACTTTAGTTGCATGCAGCCCTGTAGACTTACTGTTGTCTTTGCTGTGTCATTCAGTACACAAGTTATTGTAGTGTTAATTCAGTGTTAAAATAAAAGGCCTAAAGTGACCAAGACCTGGCCAAAGAGAAGATCACACTGCGTATCTTCTTTAAGATTATAGCATAGCATTATTGTGACTTGAAAAATAATGAGCCAAACAAGATTTTATGAGGGAGTTGTGAAGTAGGACCTGCAATTTCTCCAAAAATAAAATGCAATTTTTTAAACTACTCTTGCATTGGGACTAATATAAAAAGCATTACATCAGCCATCTGTATAATGGAAGATAATACGATCCGAAATTTCGTGACTGAATAGACTGTCAAAAACAGGCTTTAATTACTGTACTAAAACTAGACATAATTAGATACAAATAATGCTAGTTTGCAGGCATTTTAATTATGGAGGACATTTACCATATAGCAGAATAAAGAAAAATTGAATAATGTGTTTATCTCTTCTTGATTTTTTTCAATTTTTTTTTTTTTTACAAAGCTTATTAAAAGAAATCTGAATAACGTCAAGAGAATGGCTTCACATCCAGTCCATCAGTATTGTAAGTGAATCACATTTGCCAGTATGAAGCAGACATTTTTCTATACCATTCTGTAGTACTAATAAATGCCTATTTCTTAATCCAGATCTTACAGGAGCACAAGATGGGAGCGTTCGAATGTTTGAGTGGACAAGGCCACAGCAATTGGTCTGCTTTCAGCAGGCTGGGAACGCCAGGGTTACAAGAATGTATTTCAATTCCCAGGGCAATAAGGTAAGCACAATATCTGCAGTTTTTTATGGAACACATTTGATCATGCTGTGACCTCTAGAACAGTTCTATCTGGTGATATAGAAAACTCCTGTTAACATATCTTAGAATAACCATAACCAGTACCATTTCATTTTTACTGCATATGAAAGCTCTGTAATAAACAGTGATTTTTATTCTCCTTTGTTTCCTGTCAGCTTCACACAGATTCCTGTCAGATTACATTAATACAAAGCAAGATTTTCAGTAATCTATCTGCACTGTTTTTACACTTCAACAGTAAAATCTATTGCAGGAAAAATGCCCTGATTTATATCAGCTTGACTGTCTTCTCTTCCAGACTCCTTCCCTATAGAACTGTTTATTCTCTGCATATTCTAAGCAATCTCAAAACAATTTGTTCTTAAACTGACATACATGCATACAGATTTTTAATGCCTCTACAATTTAACTGAGCTGACATAGAACACAGTTGGATCTGAAACCTCTTCCTTATGTTCTCGCAAGGAAAACTGAATATGATTCACTCAAAAAAAAAAAAAAAAAAGGTTTTGGGTGCTGTAAAGTTATCTCATCTGTTGATTTCAGGCTAGTCCTTATTAGCTACATTTTGAGACAAAAAACTTTGCAGTATTGTGTGTCATATTTCCTGTTTTCAAACTTTTCTGTAATTTGATTCTAAGTGGTGAGCTTTTAAATCAAACATTAATTGCAAAAATGGAACTTGCCTATTTTGCAGAACAAAACTCATATTAAACTAAATACAGATGTTCAAAAAGTACTTCATACTTTGCTTTCTGGCTATAATAAAGTTGAATGTTTTGGCTAGAAGACATACTTACAGCCCATTAATTGAACAGAGTAAATATACTGCACTACAGTGGAGAGCAGGAAAAAAAGTACAGAAGAGCCACACACTGTGGCCAAAAATAAGTATGTGAGGTAGATAAGCTGCAGAAAACAATGGACAAAGGGAAGGGAACTGGGAGAAATAGCCACCTTCATTTTTCAAAGTTATGCTAAGAAATGCATTTCACTCCTTGCAGTGTGGTGTTGCTGATGGTGAAGGATTTCTAAGTATTTGGCAAGTAAACCAAACCACCTCAAATCCTAAGCCTTATCTGGTAAGTTAACAGTTGTGGGTTTTTTTCTTCTCATAGAGGAAATTTAGTCTTCAAGACTTTACACAAATCAAGACTGTAAGAGTTTCACTGAGGCATTTTTGTTTCGCTTATTTTTAATTGGCATACTTCATCAGCATGCTTATTTTCACTACTATTGATTTGAAGCTCAAATTGTAAAGTGACTGTAAGCTGTGATGCAATTACAAATGCTATCAGCATTGCCCTTGATTAAATAAAAATGAGAGCTCGCAGTAAGGACTTTACAGCCCCAAGAAATAGTAAAAACACTCTCTTCTTTTCACTGCTAATTATCAGCACAAAAAGATCATGCTTAATTTGAAATTCAGGCTAATGTGATAAAAGACATTGTAGATTTTTTTAATAGTTCGATTATTTTAGTATTTGTTTTAGATTTTTTTAATCCATTGATTCATCTTCTGAGATTTCAAGCTGCACTGTGTGTCACTGTTTCAGCTTTCAAAACCTTAAGACCATTTCCTGTACGACAGCAGTGACATGACACTGATAGTAGCACTTGATGCTACTATCAGACTACAACTGATATGATTGCTTCTCTGTT